TCTTCTAGGCCTGTGTGGGGAGGGGCAGGGCAGGCCCAAAGTACAGCAGCCCCCACCCCCCCCAACTGGCCCCAACCCCCCAGGCTCAGAGCTGCTGCCCGGGCAGGGCTGCATGTCCCGGCAGCACATGGCACGCGAAGCTGGCAGCCGCATGCCAGGCTACTTCCTCCGGGGCCCTGGGTGGGGCGAGGCGGTGGCAGGAGCTGGGGTGGGGCAGAGCGAGGCTGGGCCTGCCCCAAGGATCTAGTTCTGCCCCCGGCCCTGCCGGTGCCCCTCGCTCCTGACCCGCGGCCCCTGCTAGCCCAGCCCTGCATCCCCCCCAGCCCTGCCGGTGCCCCTCAGTCCCGACCCGCAGCCCCTGCTAGCCCAGCCCTGCCGGTGCCCCTCAGTCCCGACCCGCAGCCCCTGCTAGCCCAGCCCTGCATCCCCCCCAGCCCTGCCGGTGCCCCTCAGTCCCGACCCGCGGCCCCTGCTAGCCCAGCCCTGCATCCCCCCCAGCCCTGCCGGTGCCCCTCACACCCGACCCGCAGCCCCTGCTGTGCGTTCCCAGCTCTCAGGGAAGCAGCAGCCACCGCTCTGACCCTGGGGTTGTTGGCGCGGGCTCAGCCTCCCCTGGCTTCCTTCCCACATCTCCAGGCTCTGGATTTCGCTGCTCTGCAATTAGGGCTCCGTGTGGTTTAAGCTGCAGGGCCGGGGCTGGGCTGGCTGCCAGCGGGGCCGGTGATGGATGAGGCCTCTGCTCCCTTCCTCCCCCGCTGCACCAGGCCTTGCGTGTTGCCTTGTTTGGGCATCGATCCTGGGCTATGCGCCCCCCTGCCAACGTGAGCCACTCCCGGCGCAGACCCCCCTCTTGGTGCTATTACATGCTCTTAGTGCCCCTCAGTCCCGACCCGCAGCCCCTGCTAGCCCAGCCCTGCATCCCCCCCAGCCCTGCCGGTGCCCTTCACTCCCGACCCGCAGCCCCTGCTACCCCAGCTCTGCCCCCCCCCAGCTCTGCCGGTGCCCTTCACTCCCGACCCGCAGCCCCTGCTACCCCAGCTCTGCCCCCCCCAGCTCTGCCGGTGCCCTTCACTCCCGACCCGCAGCCCCTGCTACCCCAGCTCTGCCCCCCCCAGCTCGGCTGGTGCCCCTCACTCCCGACCCGCAGCCCCTGCTAGCCCAGCCCTGCATCCCCCCCAGCCCTGCCGGTGCCCTTCACTCCCGACCCGCAGCCCCTGCTACCCCAGCTCTGCCCCCCCCCAGCTCTGCCGGTGCCCTTCACTCCCGACCCGCAGCCCCTGCTACCCCAGCTCTGCCCCCCCAGCTCTGCCGGTGCCCTTCACTCCCGACCCGCAGCCCCTGCTACCCCAGCTCTGCCCCCCCCCAGCTCGGCTGGTGCCCCTCACTCCCGACCCGCAGCCCCTGCTAGCCCAGCCCTGCATCCCCCCCAGCCCTGCCGGTGCCCCTCCTGACCCGCAGCCCCTGCTACCCCTGCCAGCCTAGCTCTGCCCAGCCCAGCTCTGCCAGTGCCCCTCACTCCTGACCCGCTACCCCTGCCAGCCCAGCTCTGGCCTCCCCCCCGCTCTGCTGGTGCCCCTCACTCCCGACCCGTAGCCCCTGCTACCCCACCACCCACTCTGCCCCCCAGCTCTGCCGGTGCCCCTCACTCCCGCCCTGCTACCCCAGCTCTGCCCCCCCAGCTCGGCTGCTGCCCCTCACTCCTGACCCGCAGCCCCTGCTAGCCCAGCCCTGCATCCCCCCCCAGCTCTGCTGGTGCCCCTCACTCCCGACCCGCAGCCCCCTGCTAGCCCAGCCCTGCCCCCCCAGCTCTGCCGGTGCCCCTCACTCCCGACCCGCAGCCCCTGCTACCCCAGCTCTGCCCCCTCCCCCAGCTCTGCCGGTGCCCCTCACTCCCGCCCTGCTACCCCAGCTCTGCCCCCCCAGCTCGGCTGCTGCCCCTCACTCCTGACCCGCAGCCCCTGCTAGCCCAGCCCTGCATCCCCCCCCAGCTCTGCTGGTGCCCCTCACTCCCGACCCGCAGCCCCCTGCTAGCCCAGCCCTGCCCCCCAGCTCTGCCGGTGCCCCTCACTCCCGACCCGCAGCCCCTGCTAGCCCAGCCCTGCATCCCCCCCAGCTCTGCCGGTGCCCCTCACTCCCGACCTGCAGCCCCTGAGGGCTGCTGTATTTTTGTCCCAGCCTTTGCCTTGTGCAGCAGAGACACCTGCTGGCGCGGCTGGGGATTGCACGGGTTGCAGGGGAACTGACCCCCCCAGCCCCCCCCCGCCCATGCCTGTCCTGCTGGGCCCTATTGTCATCTTTCTCTCTCCCCCCCGCCCCCCGGAGATCTGCGGGGGCTCGGTGGGGCTCATGTCCCCCAGCCCTGGCGCGTGGGGACGATGCCCCCAGCTGACCTGGGAGGTGGGGGCTGGTGGCCCCTTCCCCACCGCCCCGGCTCTGCCCCAGACACGGCTGCATTGCAGACCAGCCAGCTCCTCCTGCTGCAGCTGTGTGGGGGGGCAAGAATCGGCCAAGGCTTGGGTGGGCCGGGAATCCAGTGACGCGCCGGCATTAGCGGCCCCGGTTCCCTTAGGTCCCCGGCTGCCGGGCTCTGCATGGCGGTGCGGGGGCTGAGCCTCGTCTGTCACGCGGCAGGAGCCCCCGGGCCCAGCCTGTGGGCGCTGAGAGCTGACAAACTCCCACCGGCGTGGGTCCGTTCGGGGCAGCGCTTGGAGCTGTCCACATGGGAGAACTACGGGGGCGGGGGGCAGGGAAAGGCTGCAGCTGGGGCATTGGGGCAGCTGGTGCCCAGCTCAGAGGTGAGCGGGGTTTGGCCCGTGAGCCAGCCCAGGTTGCAACAGCGACGCTGGGTCCCAGGGCTCGCCCCTCGGGAGTCGGGCCAGCAGGCACGGGCAGCAAAGGGAACACGCAGGAAGAGCGAGTCCAGGGTCCCGCTCCGTCTGGGGGCGCTGAGAGCCTGGGGGGGCCCCGCTCTGTCTGGGGGCGCTGAGAGCCTGGGGGGGCCCCGCTCTGTCTGGGGGCGCTGAGAGCCTGGGGGGCCCTGCTTCGTCTGGGGGTGCTGAGAGCCTGGGGGGGCCCCGCTCTGTCTGGGGGCGCTGAGAGCCTGGGGAGGCCCCGCTCCGTCTGGGGGGGCCCCGCTCCGTCTGGGGGTGCTGAGAGCCTGGGGGGGCCCTGCTCCGTCTGGGGGGGGCCCCGCTCCGTCTGGGGGTGCTGAGAGCCTGGGGGGGCCCCGCTCCGTCTGGGGGTGCTGAGAGCCTGGGGGGCCCTGCTCCGTCTGGGGGGGGCCCCGCTCCGTCTGGGGGCGCTGAGAGCCTGGGGGCCCCGCTCCGTCTGGGGGCGCTGAGAGCCTGGGGGGGCCCCGCTCCGTCTGGGGCGCTGAGAGCCTGGGGGGGGCCCCGCTCCCTCTGGGGGTGCTGAGAGCCTGGGGGGGGCCCCGCTCTGTCTGGGGGTGCTGAGAGCCTGGGGGGGGGCCCTGCTCCGGCTGGGGGCGCTGAGACGGGTGGGGGGAAGCTGCCTGTGGCTGAAACATCCCAAGTCCCTGATGGGCCCGGTTCGGCTGCAGCAGTGGGGGGGCCTCGGCCGCCCCGGCCCTGGTTCTGAGGGCTCGGGTGGGGACGAGCCGACGTGCGGGTGGTGTGAGGTCAGACCAGCCGGGCACAAGTGTGGGGTGGGGTCAGTGTGTGGCTGGCTTCTGAGCGGGCGGTAGTTGCCAGTCCAGGCCCGGGAGTTTTGTGATATTCCCCCCAAGTCCCCCTACACCCCGTCTCCCTCCCTCCCTCCCCCAGCCCCACACCACACCCCCCCCCCCGTGTCTGCCCGGCACCAGGAGGCCTCGGCCTGCCCACGTGCCTCTGAGCTGCTCGTGGAGCGGGGCAGGTGGGGCAGGTCTGTACGGGCCCCCCGCCCGCTCCAGCAGGCCTGAGCCTGGCCCCAGAGCCTGGCCCCAGAGCCTGGCGGGCGCCGTGGGGCGCGGGCTCATGGCACGGGCCCATCTGGCCTCGGGTGCCTTCGTGGTCCTGTCCCCACCCCCGGTCTCCCCCCAGCGTCACTGTAAGGCCCCCCCGGGCAGCGCCAGGCGCCCGCCCCCAGGCCCGGCCCCCAGGGTCCGTTCTGGGGCCGCAATGATCGGGGGGGGGGACCAGGTCCAGGCACAGCAGGGGCCCCGCATGAGTGGTGCCTCCCCATAGAGACCCAGCCCCACTGCCAGGGCATGAAGGTCCGGGGGGGGGGCTGAGCTGGGCCCCCCCGGCGGCCCCTGGGGCGGGGTTGCGAATATGCAAATATTCAGATATGCCGATAAGTTGCAACCAGACCAACTGTTAATCGGGGTGAATTAATTACACATGCAAATGAGGCCGACTGTCCACATGCAAATTAGCTGCAATGACGCAGTTGGTGGGGCCCAAACCGGCTCCGGCAACGTCACAAAATATGCATCTTAGCTCGAGATGCAAATTAGCCGCACAATGCAATTGTATGCAAATCGGAGCGGTATGCAAATTGCACGGCGCGGAGCCTTGCGCCGCGCGCGCTGATCTGGGCGGGCCCGCGCGCCTCCCCTGCCTCGGGACAGCCGACACAGGGCCCGACCCACGCTGGCCCCGCCCCCATGTCCAATCAGCGTCGAGATATTTACATAACAGGGCAGATGGGCGGGGCATAGAGGACGGGCGGCAGGCACTTCGATGGACACGCCTCGTCCTCAATACGCATGCGCAGCAACCGCAGGCCCGCCGGCTAGGTCTCTAAAATGGCGGCGGGATGGGAACAGCGCGCGTGCGCAACACGCGCGAGAAGGCCTGGTGTCCGCGATGCGCATGCGTTTCCCTCTCTACGCCGGAAGCCACTGCTAGAGCGGAGCCGCGGGTTGGGCAAGAGGGCGCATGCGCTGGAGGGCGAGCGCCCGCCGCCATTGGCCGGCGCCGCCGCTCTACGCCGGAAGCGGGGCTAGAGCGGCGGTCGGGGCCTGCGTACAAAAGCTGCGCGCATGCGCGGCTCCCTTCTCTTTGCCGCACGGCGAGGTGAGCGTGTGTCCGGGCTGGGAGCCCTGGGAGGGACCCGGGGCTGGGACCCACAATTCCCCGCGGCGCGGCCCCAACACTACCCCCCCCCCGACACCCCCTTGCGGCGCGACCTCAGCGCCCCCGCCCCCCCCCCCGCCGTGTCTGATCCGGTCTCTGCGTCTCTCTAGACCCTGCCCGGAGCCGCCATGGGCCGCCGCCCCGCGCGCTGGTGAGTGGGGGCCGGGGGGGGGGCCCGGTGCGTGTGGCCGTCCCCGGGGGGCCCGGTCCGTGGGTGCGTGTGGCCGTCCCCGGGGGGGGGGGCCCGGCCCGGGGTCCGTGGGTGGTGTGGCCGTCCCCGGGGGGGGGCCCGGCCCGGCGGTCCGTGGGTGCGTGTGCCGTCCCCGGGGGGGGGCCCGGCCCGGCGGTCCGTGGGTGCGTGTGGCCGTCCCCGGGGGGCCCGGCCCGGCCCGGTCCGTGGGTGCGTGTGGCCGTCCCCGGGGGGGGGGGGCCCGGCCCGGTCCGTGGGTGCGTGTGGCCGTCCCCGGGGGGGGGGCCCGGCCCGGTCCGTGGGTGCGTGTGGCCGTCCCCGGGGGGGGCCCGGCCCGGTCCGTGGGTGCGTGTGGCCGTCCCCGGGGGGGGGGCCGGCCCGGTCCGTGGGTGCGTGTGGCCGTCCCCGGGGGGGGGGGGCCCGGTCCGTGGGTGCGTGTGGCCGTCCCCGGGGGGGGCGGCCCGGTCCGTGGGTGCGTGTGGCCGTCCCCGGGGGGGGGGCGCGGGGGGTCCGGTCCGTGGGTGCGTATGGCCGTCCCCGGGGGGGGGGGGGGGTCCGGTCCGTGGGTGCGTGTGGCCGTCCCCGGGGGGGGGGGCCCGGCCCGGCCTGGTGCGTGTGGCCGTCCCCGGGGGGGGGGCCCGGTCCGTGGGTGCGTGTGGCCGTCCCCGGGGGGGGGGGCCGGCCTGGTCCGTGGGTAGCTGGGTGTCTCGGGGCGGGGGGGCTGTTGGGGCTGGCCCCGTCTCACCGTCCTCTCCCCCCCCCAGCTACCGGTACTGCAAGAACAAGCCCTACCCCAAGTCCCGCTTCTGCAGGGGCGTCCCAGGTGAGTCTCCCCCCGTGTGTTGCTGGGCCCACGGGGGCTGGGGGGAGACAGGGCTGGGCCTGGGGGCCATGGGGGGCGGGGTGGAGGGGGTTGTGTGGGGCCCTCAGGAAATGATGTCATGCTACTAGTAAAGACCTGGGGGTTCTGCCAGGCCTCCTTCCTGGGGTTTGGGGGGTCTCTGCCAGCTTGGACACCGTGGGGAAGGGGCCCTGCCTGGTCCAGGAACACCTGAGGATGAGACCCCAGGGTCTGCTCTGGCTCATAGGGGGTCCCCTTCTCTCCTATTCCCCCCCCAGATGCCAAGATCCGCATCTTTGACCTGGGCCGGAAGAAGGCCAAGGTGGACGAGTTCCCCCTCTGCGGCCACATGGTGTCGGATGAATATGAGCAGCTCTCCTCTGAAGGTGAGGGGGTGGCTGGGGCCTTGTCTGGGAGGTGGGGGCTTGTTCGGGGGCAGTGCTTGTCCAGGGGGTGGAAAGTGAGGGGTGGGGTCAATAAACCTGCCAGGAAGATCCCAGCTGAGGGGCTGCTGGTTGGGGGCCCTCTTGTTCCCCTCCTGAGTTCACTCTGTCGTCCCCCCCAGCGCTGGAGGCCGCCCGGATCTGTGCCAACAAGTACATGGTGAAGAGCTGTGGGAAGGACGGGTTCCACATCCGCGTACGCTTGCACCCCTTCCATGTCATCCGCATCAACAAGATGTTGTCCTGCGCTGGTGCCGACAGGTGGGGGGAACGTGGGGGGCAGGGAGGGGTCCTCGCAGCCCACTAAGCCGACCGGCCCGCCTGCCGTGGGGGCCCGGTGTGCAATGGCTGCACACAGCACCCCCCCTGGTTGTGTACGTGCTCCGTGCCCTGTATGGAGCACCTTAAGGGACCGCGGGGACATAGACTCAAGGGGTGTTTGGGAGGGGTGAGGGGCAGTGGATGTGTGGGGTGACACCCTAAGGGACTGTAGGAATGCGGGGGGGCAGTGACCTAAGGGGACATGTTTGGAGGAGTGTGGGGATGATTCTCTTTGTGCTCAGGGGGTGTTTGGGGTGTGACTGAGGGTGGGGGATGTGGGGGGCATTTGTAGGGGTAGGGAATGTGGGCACAGGGCCCTTTGGCCATGCGCCCCCCCCAGCTCATGCCCCATGGGTCCTGGCAGGCTGCAGACGGGGATGCGTGGTGCCTTCGGCAAGCCCCAGGGCACTGTGGCTCGGGTGCACATCGGCCAGGTCATCATGTCCATCCGCACCAAGGCCCAGAACAAGGAGCACGTGGTGGAGGCCCTGCGCAGGGCCAAGTTCAAATTCCCCGGGCGCCAGAAGGTAATGGGGGTGGTTCTGGGTGGGGGGCTCCCCCAGTCATGGTGGGGCTCTTTGGGGGTTGTGCTTCCTTGGGGGGCTGCTGGCTCCCAACCAGTCCCAGGGCAGGGACTGGCTGGTTCGGTGGGGGAATGGGGCCTGTCTCCTCTGGGGCTGCCCTGCAGCCAGTTAAGCCGACCGGCCTGCCTGCCGTGGGGGCCCGGTGTGCAATGGCTGCGCACAGCACCCCCCCTGGTTGTGTACGTGCTCCGTGCCCTGTACGGAGCGCCCTAAGGGACCGCGGGGACACGGGCATCGGAGGTGTGGGGGGTGACACCCAAGGGACTGTGGGGACACAGCCGGTGTCCGCGGGAGACCTCCTGTGTAGCTAGCACCCCTGCTAACCACTGTCCCTGCCCCCCAGATCCACATCTCCAAGAAATGGGGCTTTACCAAGTTCAACGCGGATGAGTTCGAGGACATGGTGGCCGAGAAGCGGCTGCTGCCAGACGGTTGTGGTGTGAAGTACATCCCCAGCCGGGGGCCCCTGGACAAGTGGCGGGCCCTGCATGCTGCCTGAGCCCCTGGCTGCCCCCCATCCTGGGGTCCCCCCAGCAGGAATAAAAACATTGGCCTCTAATGCCCACCTGTGTGTGCTGTGGGGCACAGCTGGGGGGGATCCCAGAGCCACAGCCCTCCCCCTTCTTTTGGGGGCAGCACAGGGCAGGATGAGCTGCAGCAGGGGCAGTGAATGCCTGGCTGGGGGGAGGCAGGGCGGGGCCCTGAGTAACTCAACTCTGGTGCTGCGGCTTGGGGGCTGCTGTGGGACAGCTTGAGCCCCCCGCTGGATGGGGATGGAGGCAGGTCCTTGCCCTGAGGGCTGCCCCCTGCTCACAGCTCCCGCGGTGCCTGCCCGGCCAGATACAAGTTCACCTCCACGGGGTAATGGTCGCTGACCTGCAGGGCCTGTGAGGTGGAGTGTTAAATTGCTGGGGGGTTAAGGGGTGCGCACCCCTCTGCCCTCCCCAAACTAGAAGAGAACCCATGAGCCCTCATTCCCAGCCCTTGCTGCTCTAACTCACCAGACCCCGCTCCCCTCCCAGAGCCAGGGAGAGAACCCAGGAGTCCTTGGTCCCATTCTTCCCTGGCCTGTAACCCACTCCCCTCCTAGGAGTCGTGGGCCTACCCACTTATGTCTCAGTTCTGGATGCTATCTGAGGAGGAGTGAGACCTGTCCCCGCTCCCTCCTGGTGAGGGTCCCTGTCTCTGCTCCCTTCCTCCCCCCTTGTGCCCAGGGCTGGTGGGGGTGTCATTCCCTGATGCCAGGGTCCCTCTCACCTCCTCCTCCGACAGCCCCAGGCTCCTGGCGAAGTTGTAGGGTTTGGCTGAGCCAGGCACCACAGCTCTGAGCAGCTCATCCCCCTGGACCACGATCCTGGGGGGCAGAGAGGGGGTGAGGGGGGAGCTGTCCCTTAACTTGCCCCTTCCCTCTAGCCTGCACCAGTGCCAGAGCAATCCCAAGGTGGGGGACTGCAGTGTGGAGAGAGGTAGCCTCTCCCCAACCCCTACTCCTTTCCCCCAGAGGTTAACTGATAACCTTTGCCAGGGGCTCTCTGCTCCCCCAGTTCTCCCTGCTATGGGGGGAGCCAGTCCCCCCACATCCCCATGCTGGTCCCCCCAGGCTACCCTAGTACCTGTCGTAGGCGCAGTGGGTCCGGGCTCGCACTGTGGTGTTGACGCCATCCCCGATCAGCCAGTGGAAGCGGGGATCCCAGCGCAGCCGGATGGACCCCCAGGCGTTGTGGGGGACATAGGCCCCCCCTGCATTTAAGTCCCCCAGCACCATCACGTTCTGGGGGGGGAGAGAGCAAGATGGGAATCTGGTCACCTGGGTCCTGTTCCCCTTCACCCCCAGCGTATGGGAGCTGCGGTGGAACTGTCCCGGATGCCTGGCTCCCCATGGTGCTGTCCTCCCACCCCCATTCTCTCTCTCTCCTTCCCTCCCAGATATCTGGGTCCCGTGGGTTCCCCCATACCTGGGTTCCCCAGCGCTGGCTCAGTTCCTGGCAGACCTGGTGGAGCTGATCGATCTCATGGGGCGCATCCCGGGGGCTGACATGATGTGAGAGCAGCACAAAGTCCTTGATGGCTGTCGGGGTGGGGGGGTGATGTTAGCGGGGGATACCTGATGCCCCAGCTCTTCCTCCTCCTCCCCCCGCCCCCCCTAGTGCTGGTGCTACTCCAGCCAGGGGGTTGCTGTCCCCAGGCACTGCACTGGGGAAGAGGGTTGTAGCTGGGGGGGCGGTCATGGGGCGTCACAAAGCTGCAGAGGGATTGGGGGAGGAAGAGGTGGATGGTGCGGGGGGGCACGGGGAGGGGAACCCACCTGTGCTGGGCACATGGAAGCGGGCAGCAAAGGGCCCCCGGGCAAAGTCTCCAGCCTCCCCAAACTGGTACCAATCCGTGACCGTCACCAGGTCCGCCCTGCGGGAGAGCACAATGGGGTCAGAGCTGCCCCAGGGTGGGGAATGAGACAGGGCTTTCCCCCTAGGGCAGAGGTTCTCAGACTGGTGGTAGGGACCCTTCAGGGGGTTGCAAGGTTATTACCTGGGGGTCGCGAGCTGTCAGCCTCCACCCCAAACCCCACTTTGTCTGCAGCATTTTTAATGGTGTTCTAAATTAAACACACTTTTTTTATATATTTGGGCAGGGGTCGCACTCAGAGGCTTGCTGTGTAAAAGGCGTCACCAGTACAAAAGTTTGAGAACCACTGCGCTAGAGGGCACCAGCTCTGATCTGGCCCCACCGTGGGGACTGGCTGGCTCGGGTGGGGGGGCACACAGGCCTGCCGGGGGGGGGGGTTACCGATACAGGAAGACGATCTGCTCCTTGTAGGTCCCGCGGCCAAGTCTCCGGCTGCCCAGCTGGGCGTAGCTGTGGGATGGATCGTACCTGCCCCAGGGAGAGAGTGGGGAACATCAGCGTGCTCACGCCTCCCTCTCCTGGGTGGACCCACGAGTCCTGGTTCCCAGAGACCCCCCCCAGCGCTGGGGGGGGACCCAGGGGCCTGGCTGGCCCAGTACCTGTTCAGCTCCCGCAGCAGGGCCTGCATGGCATCACCCTTCACGTCCCGGACCTCCTGCACGGCAGCGATGTCACAGCGCACCAGGATCTGCAAAGAGACGCCCGCTCAGTATGGGGAGCTGGCACTGTCTGGTCTCCCCCAGTGCCTGCCCCCTGGGCTGAGTCCAGCCAGTCCCCCCGCCCCGAGTGGGCACCTGTACGAGTGCGCCCATCACCCAGGTGTCACCCGATTTGGCCTCCCCGAAGCCATGTGCGTTGAAGGCGCAGATCTTGAAGCCGGCGCCTGCCAGGCGTAGCCCGAGCAGCAGCAGGGCCAGGGGGTGCATTGTTGGGCTGGGGGGAGCAGCAGCCAGGCAGGGACGAGGCGTGGTGGGTCTGGGTCCAGGCTGGGGCGGCCCTGCCCGCGGCTGCTCGTTTGCTGCTGAGTCAGCAGCTGGGGCACGGGGCCCTTTGTCCGGCTGAGCCTGACACGTGCAGGCCAGAGAACACCCTGGGCTGGGCCAGTGTCCCTCGTGCTGGGCCATTCGGAGAACCCAGGAGTCCTGGCTCCTGACCTCACCCCACTCCCCTCCCAGAGCCAGCGAGAGAACCCAGGCGTCCTGCCCTCCCTGCTCTAACCACTAGTCACCCCTCCCTGAGCCAGAGAGGGAGGCAGACCCTGGCTGCCCCCCAGGTGGCTTGTGGGCGATGAGAGGAGCCAGTACCAGGTGGCTGGCCTGGGGGTCTCCAGCCCCCTCCATCCTGGTTCCAGTGGGTCCCCATTGGCCCTGGGCCTCACTAGCTGCCCGCTACAAGGTGTCCCGATCAGCCCTACTTGCATTTGGTGCCCTGCCACCCCCCGATGCCCCTCCAGGACCCCAGCCTGGGGGGGTGAGTGGGGTACGGGGACTTTGCTCATTCTGCCCTGAGGATGAAAGGGACAGGAAACTTGTTGGCGAGGCAGCCCCCAAAGGGTTAAACTAGGCACCAGCTGGGGGGGATCCCCTGTATGTCTGACTTCCACCCCCAACTCCAGAGGAGGCTGCATCTCAGTCCGAGTAAGGGATCCATGGATGCCCAGCCCCTGCACCCCACCGCAGAGGGGCATATTTCCATGCCACATGGAGGGGTTCCTGTATAACACCCCCCACACTAACCCCAGAAGTGGCTGCATCTAAGCCCAGGCAAGGGCTCCCCAGATATCTAGCCCTGCCCCACCCCAGAGGTGGCTGCAGTGTGGGGGTCAGGGGGTCACACTGGAGGCCAGAACCTGATGCGTCTGAGCTGGGGCAGGCTGGTGTCACGACGCTGCTTTTGTCCGGCAGGTCGTACCAAGGCCGTGCCCTGCTCTGGGGGAACTGCCAGTCTGGGCCGGATGCCTGGGTTCTCCTGGGGCTCGCTTGTCACTCACCTGCAGCTTGTGTTAATTAATTGAAAGAGATTCGCGTCCATCCTCTCATGCCTGGTTCGGGCTGCCCCAGGTTGTCCTGCCCTTAGGCTGGCAGCCCCGTTGCTGTGTTCTGAGTTTGGGCAACACCTGGCTCCGCTGGGGGCCTGGGGCCTGCCACGCTGCACCCGAATCACTGTTGCCCGGTGGGCGCAGTGACACCTGGCACTGAGTCACGGGAATCCCCATGCTGACACCAAGCAGGCGCGTGGGCAGGGCTGGGCGCCCAGCTCACAGAGAGGGGTTAGAGATGGAGAGCAGGGGACAGGCCAGCTGCCGGCAGGAGCGATTCCAAAGGCGGGGTCCGGTCAGCGAGGACAAGGAGTGACTTGGGGTGGGGACCTAGGTTAGGGGGCTGTACAGCCACGGGGGGTGGGGCAGGCTAGGGGGCCGTACAGCCACGAGGGGGGGCAGGCTAGGGGGCTGAACAGCCGGGGGGGGGGAGCGAGCTAGGGGGCCGTACAGCCACGGGGGGGGGGCAGATGGGGGGGCAGGCTAGGAGGCCGTACAGCCACGGGGGGGGGCAGATAGGGGGGCAGGCTAGGGGGCCGTACAGCCACGAGGGGGGCAGGCTAGGGGGCTGAACAGCCGGGGGGGGGGAGCGAGCTAGGGGGCCGTACAGCCACGGGGGGGGGCAGATGGGGGGGCAGGCTAGGGGGCCGTACAGCCACGGGGGGGCAGACAGTGACTGGGGACCTGTTCTACAACCCTTTGCGTAGCACGGGCGCGGGGGCTCAGCCCATGGCATGAACAGGCGCAGGCTTCGAGCAAACCGGCGGGTGTGTGTCCCCCGCGCCGCACGGTTAACCTGTGGAACTCGCTGCCGCTGCATGTTACGGAGGCCAGAGTGCAACAGGGTCGGTCAGTCCCTGGCGGCTGCCAGCCCCCTGCTTGGGGGTCCCTGAGCCGGGGTCCCTGCTGCGGCGCTGGCGGGAGCCGGACGGGGCCCACACCGGGGTGTCGGAGGGCGGGGCTGGGAGCCCGGACTCCTGGGTTCTGTCCCTGGGCCCAGCCCAGGCCCCGCCTCTCGGCTTGAGGGGGCGGGGCACAGAGCGGCCCAAGCTCAGCCCCGCCCCGCCCGCTCTCTGCTGCCACCTTGTGGCCTCCGCCCGAGCGGCGCATGCGCAGGGGGAGCCGTACTGAGGCCCCCCCATTGGCTGGCGCTGGGTCCCGGGACGGGCGCCGGCCAATGGCGCAGGAGGGCGGGGTATAAAGGCAGGCCCGGGGGGGGGGCTCAGTCTGGGGCAGCGGGGCCTGCGGGCGCCTGCTGGGGTTTGTGCTGGGACCCAGGCGTCCGAGGGGCGGGGCTAGCTGGGGGGACGCGGACTGAATGGTCTTGTCTCCCTGCAGGTGTCGCCCCCCCCCCGGGCACGGGCTGCCGCGCCGCCCCCCCTCTATCTGCGCCCCCGGGCACGGCGCCGCGCCGCCCCCCATCTGCGCCCCCTCTATCTGCGCCCCCCGCCCCCCGGGCACGGCCGCCCCCCCCCTCTATCTGCGCCCCCCGCCCCCCCGGGCACGGGCTGCCGCGCCGCCCCCCCCATCTGCGCCCCCCTCTATCTGCGCCCCCCTCGCCCCCCCGGGCACGGGCTGCCGCGCCGCCCCCCCTCTATCTGCGCCCCCCGCCCCCCCGGGCACGGGCTGCCGCGCCGCCCCCCCCCTCTATCTGCGCCCCCCTCGCCCCCCGGGCACGGGCTGCCGCGCCGCCCCCCCATCGCGCCCCCCTCTATCTGCGCCCCCCTCGCCCCCCCGGGCACGGGCTGCCGCGCCGCCCCCCCTCTATCTGCGCCCCCCTCGCCCCCCCGGGCACGGGCTGCCGCGCCGCCCCCCCCTCTATCTGCGCCCCCTCGCCCCCCGGGCACGGGCTGCCGCGCGCCCCCCCCCATCTGCGCCCCCTCTATCTGCGCCCCCCGCCCCCCGGGCACGGGCTGCCGCGCCCCCCCCCTCTATCTGCGCCCCCTCGCCCCCCGGGCACGGGCTGCCGCGCCGCCCCCCCATCTGCCCCCCTCTATCTGCGCCCCCCTCGCCCCCCCGGGCACGGGCTGCCGCGCCGCCCCCCCTCTATCTGCGCCCCCCCTCGCCCCCCCGGGCACGGGCTGCCGCGCCGCCCCCTCTCTATCTGCGCCCCCCTCGCCCCCCCGGGCACGGGCTGCCGCGCCCCCCCCTCTATCTGCGCCCCCTCGCCCCCCGGGCACGGGCCGCACCGCCCCCCTCTCTATCTGCGCCCCCCGCCCCCGGGCACGGGCGCCCCGCCCCCCTCTATCTGCGCCCCCCTCGCCCCCCCGGGCACGGGGGCCGCGCGCGCGCGCCCCCTCCATCTGCGCCCCCCGGGCACGGGCTGCCGCGCCCCCCCCCTCTATCTGCGCCCCCTCGCCCCCCCGGGCACGGGCTGCCGCGCCCCCCCCTCTATCTGCGCCCCCCCCCCCGGGCACGGGCTGCCGCGCCGCCCCCCCCCATCTGCGCCCCCCTCTATCTGCGCCCCCTCGCCCCCCCGGGCACGGGCCGCCGCGCCGCCCCCCCCCCATCTGCGCCCCCGCCCCCCCCGGGCACGGGCTGCCGCGCCGGCCCCCCCTCTATCTGCGCCCCCGCCCCCCCGGGCACGGGCTGCCGCGCCCCCCCCCCTCTATCTGCGCCCCCGCCCCCCCGGGCACGGGCTGCCGCGCCGCCGCCCCCTCTATCTGCGCCCCCTCGCCCCCCCGGGCACGGGGCGCGCCGCGTACCGCGCCCCCCCCTCTATCTGCGCCCCCCCCCCGGGCACGGGCTGCCGCGCCGCGCCCCCCTCTATCTGCGCCCCCCCTCGCCCTCCCGGGCACGGGCTGCCGCGCCGCGCCCCCCCATCTGTGCCCCCCCGCCCGCACGGGCTGCCGCGCCGCGCCCCCCCCTTCGCCCTCCCGGGCACGGGCTGCGTGCCACCCCCCTCCATCTGCGCCCCCCCGGGCCACGTTGTTAATGGACCAGTCGCAGTTGCCCCTTCGCTTCTGTCCCAGCTCCCCACCCCCATTGGGAAGCAGCACCAGGGACCCCCCCAAACCCAGCAAACAGCCCCGCCCAGGTTAAACAGCAACCAGGAAATGTCTGAAAGTACTTGGAGGGGTTTACAAAAAGAACAGGAGTACTTGTGGCACCTTAGAGACGAACCGATTTATTTGAGCATGAGCTTTCGTGAGCTACAGCTCACTTCGAGGGGGAGCCTGTTAGTCTGGACCCACAGGAACAGCCAGGCAGCGGAAAAAGGGGGGTTTTTATCCACGAAAGCTTTTGCCCAAACTCCTCACTGTTTTTATGGAGGGGTTTAGTTGCTCTGTCACTTTAAAAAAACCCACCCCCCTCTGGCGGCATTTGAACCCGTATCCACTGCCCAGGGATGCCCCTCCAGCCGAACGCTCTGGGCAGGCAGGCCCAGGACCTAGGGGGATGGACTCCAGCTGATCGGGTAACATCCCCTGGCCTCACGCCTGGGAACGCTGCCGGTTCTGTATTTGCTGCAGTGAGTTTGTCAGGTCTGAGATGAGCAGTTTCTGCATCTTCTGTAGGAGGGGGAAATCCAGGCATCTGAGTAAAGGCCTCTGCTGATCGGAGAGTCCAGCAGGTGGGTTTAGACTCCAGCCCCTCGGTCTGGTGTCCCCCAAGATCCATGCGCCCAGCAGTGCTGCGTGGGGAGGTCAGACCCAGCCCTCCAGCCCGGCCAGCAGCATAGCCAGGGGCAGCAGTGCTGGGCCGGCTGGCCAGCACCCCCTCGAGGCTGCGTTCAGTTCCAGTTGCACCTCCACCGGGTAATGGTCACTGACCTCCAGCGCCTGGGGCCGGGGATGAGGAGACAGGGTCAGGGGGTGGGGGGTTTGCTAGAGATCCCCTGGCTCTGTATCTATGCGTGCTGCTGGCATTCCCAGGCCGCTGCCCTGCCCTGCAGGCGGTTCGGGCCGGGAGCGCTGGGGGCCAGGTTGCAGACTGAGCCTGACTCACCTGCCGGCCCAGACCGGCCACAACGCCGGAGGGGTTTCTTGTGAGCCTTGTGCTGACAGACAAAGGTCTGCCCTCCTCGCAGCACAGAGACCTGCCCCACCCCCCGTGCCCAGCTGTAGAAACTCCCCTGCAGCCCCCGCCCCCCCCAGATCCGCACTACGCAGGGTGAGTGGGCATCTCTCATGCCAGGGCAGGTTTTCTCACCTTGGCCATCTTGGCGGCTCTTCTCTGACACCCCCCGTTCCCCCCCCCCCCCCCGACAGGGGCATTACCTTGGTCTCTGTGAGCCCGAATGTGCTAGGGAAGTCGAAGGGCTGGGCTGAGCCAGGCACCACCAGCCCCAGGCAGCGCTCCCCATGCACCACGATCCTGCGGGGGGGGAGGGAAGGGGGTTACAGCTCCCAGCATCTCCAGAGCACCCCCCCTCACCCCAGGGAAGCCTGGGTCCCACCTGTCGTAGGCGCAGTGCGTGCTGTTCCGCACAGTTGTGTCGGCAGCATCTCCGATTAGCCAGTGGAAGCTGGGCTCGCGCCGCAGCCGGATCTGTCCCCAGCGCTTCTTGGCCACGTAACCGCAGTCGGCGTTAAAGTCCCCCAGAAACATGACGTCCTGGGGGTGGGGAGAGAAAGCATCACCTGAGTTCGGGAGTGGGGGCTAGGAGCCCCAGGACTCCTGGATTCCATTCTCACAGTGTTGTCTGTGCCCCCTGGCCAGCCCCCTCCTCACCTCCGTCCCCCAGCGGGCCTGGACATCCAGGAAGACATCGTAGAGCGCATCGATCTCCGTCTCTGCCTTCTTGGGCACGGTGTGCTGGGGGACAAGCACCAGGGTGGGGAGCGCTGGGGCGCAGAGAAAGGAGGAGTAACTACAGGGTAGAGAACGCAAGCGTCCTGGCTCCCAACCCCTCCCACCAGACCCCACTCCCTGCCCAGCAGAACCCAGGCATCCTGGCTCCCAACCCCTCCCCCCGGATCCCAGCAGAACTCAGGTGTCCTGGCTCCTAAACCCCACTCTCCTCCCAGCAGAACCCAGGTGTCCTGCCTCCCAACCCCTCCCCCCGGACCCCACTCCTCTCCCAGCAGAACCCAGGTGTCCTGGCACACACTCACCTTTGCTGGGCAGGCTGAAGCGCCCGACAAAGGGTTCGCGGACAAAGGCATCTGGTCTGGCAGGGTTCTCGTCCAGGTACATGTAGGAGTCGAGGAGCTGGGTGCGGCCGGACCTGCAGGTAAGGGGCAGGCTTAGAGTGGGGTTCGGGGTTGGGTGTGGGGGCATGCGTGCTGGATCCCTCCACTCTGGTGGGTTGATTTTACTCATCGATTTTTCTACGGCAGACGTTGGCTGCACCGCAGTTCCAAGTCGTGGGGTGACGATTCGTGTCCTTTCACCTGTGCTTTGGTCATGCTGTGTGTGGCGGGGGCTGGATTGGACCGCATGGGCAGCCGCTCTGATTCAGCCAGCGAACCCAACGCCCTGAAACTTGCAGGAGCTGGAAGGAAAATGGCTTCTTGCGAAGTAACGCGCCTGGCTTTGTTCTGCAGCGGTCGTGGTGGGACTGGAGTGTTTCTGCTCCCCCAGCCTGAACACCCCCCCAGCCCGCAGTCCCAGACCAGCCTCCTGGGTGCCTGTGGAACAGGAACTGAGCTGAACGCAGTGAAACAAGGAACTGGGTCCCTGCAGCCCAGGCCCTGGGTCCCTGTGCTGTGGGCCAGGCCCTGGTGGCCTGTCAAAGGGCAGCTCACTGGTGTCGTGTCTGAGCTAAGCGCCTTTGGTCGGTGACAGGCCAGGCCGAGGGCGTCACATTGCCCCGGGGCCGCACTCACCGGTACACGAAGACGTAGCGCTCCTGGTAATGCCCAGCTCCCAGCAGTGGGCTGCTCAGGGCCGTGTAGGAGTCGGGGCCTGCGGACCTGGGGGCAGGAGGGAACAGGGTGAGGGGGATCCCAGCGGTGACCCTCCATCCCGTCCCACCTACGCCCCTGCCCCCACATAACCCACCTGTGCAGGGCGCTGATGAGTGCGGGCACGGCCTGCTCCTGGGCATCCATCACCTCCTGCAGCACCGCGATGTCACAGCGAGAGATAATCTGTGTGGGTGGAGCTCATTAGCAATATCTGCATATGCAAATCTCACACCACCACCACCTCCTGCCTCTCCTCTGTCCCCACCCCTGGTGGCCTCCCTGTCTCCCCCCCTCCCCCACTGCTCCCTGTGCTTACCAGCGGCTCCCCTCAACCTCCCTGTGCCCCCCCACTGGTTCCCCTGCCCCTGGCTCCCCAAGCACCTGCCTCACCTTGACCAGTGTGTCCATGACGGCGACTTTGGCAGCTTTGGGGCCAGCGAACCGCTGCAGGTTGAAGGCACAGATCCGGAAGGGGGCACCTGCCGGGCACAGAAGCAGCAGCAGGGCGCAGAGGCAGTGGGGGGGCAGCCCCATGGTGGGGGGAGCAGCGCAGGCCTGGGCAAACCCTGCAAGAGAGGGACCGATGGACGGACACAGCCAGGTGGAGGGTTGTGCGGACAGACAGATGGAATGGGGTGGGGGTGGGCACTCCCGGGCTGGCATTAAATCTAGACGGGGCTTCGTGGGGGCTAAATATAGCAACAACAACAAAATAGCCACAGGCTGCATCTGGCTCTGTCCATCACAAACACCCTCCCACCGTGCCCAGAGAGCTGCCCCCTCTCCCACCCCAGAGAGCCCCACACAACCGTCTGCCCCCCGGCTCCCCTCTCCAGAGAGCTCCCCACCCTGCACCTGTGCTCCCGCCCCCAGAGGCTCCCCCTAAAATCTCCCTCTTTGCTTCCCTCTCCCCCAGATAACTCTGCCCCCGGCCCAGCTCAGTGTGAGCCCAAGAGCCGCCCTCCTGTCCTGTGTGCAGAGCCGTGGGGAGAAATTAAAACACTGGGTCCTATTGTTCAGTCCTGTCTATCCAACACCAGCCCCTCCCCCCCGCTGATTCTCTGCCCCCCCCAGCCACCCCTTCCCCCTCACCGGGTCAGGGACTCACAGGACTCTGCGGTATCATCCCCCCCCTGCAGTGGGGGGTGGGGGCAGCCTGGGGGACCCGGGGCAAGGACAGGAAGCTGGGGGGGGGACACGGGGCAGGGACAGGAAGGGGGGTCCAGGGACAGAAAGTGGGGGGGGGGAGCCTGGGGGATCCAGGACAGGGACAGGAAGCTGGGGAGGCTTTGCAATTTGATACCCCACCCCTGGGCAGCAACCCGAGGGGAGCGCTGCAGAGGAGGACCAAATTCCCCCCCCCCACCACCCCAGATAGCTCCTCAGCTAAGGGGAGACCCAGATCTGACCCCCAACCCAGCCAGGGAGCCCAGCCTTACCCTGCTCTCCCTGTGCCCCAAGCTGGCTCTGCAGTCTGCTCCACCCATGGGCTCCAGCTCCCCCCCACCCTCCGGCTTTCACTTCCCCCCCACCCCCCCGCTGGGCGAGGCTGGCCCCACCCCGCCGGGGAGAGGAGGTGGCGGGATCCCCGGCCCGCGGCAGGTAGCCACGGGAGAGGCCTGTGGGGACTCGCCAGCTGAGGGCCCCAGGCGCTGCCGTGCAAACGGGAACAGCCACAGATGCACCCACGGGCACCCGTGGACCCAGCAGGGCCTGGCAGGAGCGGACGGGTCGCCGTGAGGTCATCGCACACGTCTGGGCCCAGGGCGATGTCACCCCGCGAGGTCACGGCCCCGGCGTGATGTCATCGCGTGTGGCCAAGACCTCACCCGATTCACTGTGACGTCACAGCGCCTCCGCGTGACGTCACCAGCTTTGTTGCGATGGCAGCGTGCGTGGCCGCGATCTCACCGCGGGAGGTGATGACGTCATGGCGTCCGGTTATGACGTCATCATACCTGCCCTGATGTCACGCTGCCGCGCCTGGGGGGGTGGGGACTGAGACCCCCTCCCCGCGAGGCGCCACGGGGGGCGCTCCCGCCAGCCCTTCCTGCTGCTCTGTGCTGCCTCCTGCCCCGGCCGCTCTAGCCGCCCGGCCCGCCTCGGCTCGTCTGTCCCGGCGGGGCGGGGGCGGCCGAGCCGCCGCTCTCTGTGGCCCCGAACCCGGAAGTCGGCCGCTCTATCCAGCGCATCTCGTATGCTCCGGAGTCCTCCGAGCCTCTTCGCGGCGCTGTGCGACACCTACATTTGCGGCCGGACCGGGCGCGCTTTACGGCCGGAGGGGCCGCCCGTGGCCGGCGGCCTTCACGACAGCGGGGAGGAGGCCGCGGCGCCTTCCAGCCGCGGGGGAGGTGGGAGAGGGGGGTTGGGACGGGGGGCAATGGGGGGTGGGCGTGGAAGAGGGCGGAGTTCGATATGGGGGCGGGGCGGGGTTCGATGTGGGGGGTGGGGCGATGGGGGAGGGGTGGGGGATGGGGGAGGGGCGGGGTTCGATATGGGGGGGGGGAGATGGGGGGGGGCGGGGTTCGATGTGGGGGTGGGGAGATGGGGGAGGGGCAGGTTCGATGTGGGGGAAGGGGCGATGGGGGAGGGGCGGGGTTCGATGTGGGGGGTGGGGCGATGGGGGGGGGGGCGGGGTTCGATGTGGGGGAAGGGGCGATGGGGGCGGGGCGGGGTTCGATGTGGGGGGTGGGGCGATGGGGGAGGGGCGGGGTTCGATGGGGGGGTGGGGAGATGGGGGAGGGGCGGGGTTCGATGGGGGGAGGGGCGGGGTGATGGGGCGGGGTTCGATGTGGGGGAAGGGGCGATGGGGGCGGGGCGGGGTTCGATGTGGGGGGTGGGGCGATGGGGGAGGGGTGGGGCGATGGGGGGAGGGGCGATGGGGGAGGGGTGGGGTTCGATGTGGGGGGACAGGCGATGGGGGGGGGGTGGGGTGATGGGGGAGGGGAGGGGTTCAATGTGGGGGAAGGGGCCGGGTGATGGGGCGGGGCGGGGTTCGATGTGGGGGAAGGGGCGATGGGGGCGGGGTGGGGTTCGATGTGGGGGGTGGGGCGATGGGGGCGGGGTGGGGTTCGATGTGGGGGGGGGGGCGATGGTGGAGGGGTGGGGTGCGATGGGGGAGGAGCGGGGTGATGGGGGAGGGGAGGGGTTCGATGTGGGGGGTGGGGCGATGGGGGCGGGGTGGGGTTCGATGTGGGGGGACAGGGATGGGGGAGGGGCGGGCGATGGGGGAGGGGTGGGGTTCGATGTGGGGGGACGGGCGATGGGGGAGGGGCGGGGTTCGATGTGGGGGGTGGGGCGATGGGGGCGGGGAGGGGTTCGATGTGGGGGAAGGGGCGGGGCGGTAGGGATCGGGAGGCTGCCGCCCGATTGTGACCCCGGCGTGTCCCTGCAGGGGGGCCGGACGATGCCCCTGGAGGTGCCTTGGCCCTTCCCGCCATTCCCGCGGCTGCCGTGGACCCTGGCCAGCCGCCTGGTCACCGGCCTGGTGGGCACCTACAGCTGCTTCTGGACGAGTGAGTGCCGGGCCCCCGCCTGACCCATGCACTGCCCCCCCACCCTGAGCTCCCCCCCTCCCTCCACTGCCCTGCTCCTGTGCCCCCCCAACGAGCCACTGACATCTCCACACCCCTCCCTCTACAGCCCCCCTGTCTCTGGCCCCACTGTGATGGTTCTTGGGGTGCCCCAGGTTGCAAGTTGCCTGGTCGTTACCCCCCCCCGGCATCTCGCTTGTGGGGTGTCAGCTCCCCTCTCGCCAGGCTACCCTCTTGCCAGGCCTTTGCCCACCTCTGGGCTAGTTAGCAGGAGGTACTCCTCAAATCCCACCAGGTCCTGGGGCCCCCCATATAGCTTCTGTCCCCGCAGCTACTGACTCCCCTGTACCTCCTCCACACATCCCTTCTCCCCCTATAGTTCTCCTCCCACCAGTTACTGACCCGATCACCCAGGCCACTGGGGGGTGGAGGAACCCAGCGCGGGTCTCCCCTGTTTGTTCCCCCCACATCTAAGTTGCCCCCCTCCCCCGCAGGGCACATGAACCGGCTGCGGGTCCATAACAAGGAAGTTCTGTATGATCTGGTCGAGTGGCGCCCGCCCGGCACCCCCCTCATCACCGTGTCTAACCACCAGTCCTGCATGGATGACCCCCACCTCTGGGGTAGGCCCTGGGGGATCCCATCTCTGGGGGGAACCCCTGGAGAGTGTGGCTGGGAGGGGGATTTTGCATGGTTGGGGTGGGGGGCAGAGCCCCTTTTGTTGGGGGAGGGGGCTGATTCTCGGTGTTATTCCTGCTCCCCTCAGAGCAGCCCCTGGGGAGAACAGACCCCTCCTTCAGTTATCCCCCCTGGGGGGGTGCCTGGCTGAGATTCCCCCAGTAATTGTTCTCCGCTGCCCTCAATTTCCAGGTATATTGAAGCTTCGGCACGTCTGGAACCTGAAAAAGATGCGCTGGTGAGTGGGGAGGGTCTGTGGGGGCTGTATGAGGGGAGTTTGTGGGGAACCCCTCTGTGACGAAGTGGGACTGTTCTTAATGTTTCCTCTGAATAGTGTGGGGGTGCCTCAGTTTCCCCTAGGCAGTTCTTAAGTATCTAGGGGGTGGAGTAAGGGTGTATGATCATTGCAGAGCCCTAGAGGGCAGGTGTGTGCAGGAGTCTGGACACAGAGAATGGCCAACACCCTGTTTCCTGGCAACTGATGGCCTGGGCCCTTCCCCCCCTGCAAGGTGAGAGCTGAAGGGTTGGAGAACAAAGGAATCAGGTGACCACCTGGCCCGGGAAAGGGACAAAGCCCAGAGGAGGAGGGGCTGGAGGGGGTTTTCAGTTTGGGGCTGGCTGAGACATGGAGTGAAGTGCAGACGTGGTTCTCTGGCTCACTGTCCCCCAAAATGGACCCAGCTGAGGGCTGAGAGTCACGTCTGACTGCGAAGTTGGGGTGCAGGACCCTCTGGCTTCCCCAGGAGCCCCGCCTGAGCGGACTCGCTGGGGGAAGCGCACGGAGGGGCAGAGGATGCTGAATGCTCCGAGGTCAGACCCAGGAAGGTGGAAGCTGTGTGAGCTGTGTGTCCTGAAGACAGGCTGCTCACAGAAAGGCGACTGCCCCAGAGTCCTGACTGGCTTCATGGGGAGCAGTTCCAGAGCATCGCCCAGGGACTCCATGACAACTGGTGGCAGTGGTGGGATGTACTGCACCCCGTGGATGGTGCTTCCTGCAGTAAGTGACTGGGGAGCAGTAACACGAAGGGGGATTGCCAAGGACCAGGCCTGCTGAAGGCTCAGAAAGGAGCGGTTTCGGGGGGCGGTTAACCCCTGGGAGTGTGTGTGACCAGCGAGAAGGACTGTGCAGTAACAGGGTTCCCCTGGGGACTGCAGTGAGCAGTCCCAGGGGCGGAGGAGTCTGCAGCTCGACCCTGGCAAAGAGGGGGTGACCTCGAGAAGGGCTGGCACACTAGGGGTTCTCCCTGGAAACCGTGGGGAGCTGAGAACACACGGGCCTGTGAGTCCACAACAACTTGGGAGGAGCGGAGTGATGGCCTGTCACCGTCTCCTTAAGAAGGACATTGTCACCCTGTGCAAAAAGAGAGGGTTGAGCGTTGGAAAGTTCACCAAAGCAGAGTTAATCGTGCAGCTGGAGGAGGATGACCGCTCTAAGGAACAGATTCCTGACCCCAACTGGGGCTATAGCAGGATCTGGGAGCAGCTGGAGTGGGAGCCAGGCATCGCCAAGACTCCTGTCCCCGACCAGACGGGGGTCTTCACGATCGGGTTCCCCATCGGGGGATCGAGACGGACGGGATTGGAGCTGAGTCTGAGAGAGCAAGAGGACCGTGGGAGACAGCGAGAGCCCGAGAAAGAGCTGCAGAAGCAGCAGCAGCATGAACTGGCGGTGGTGGGGCGGAGAGGCCTAGGGGACCTCCCCAAGGTGAGTGGGGATAGACCCCGGGGTGCCAGTTCCGCAGGGAACCTCAAGACTAAATTGCTGCCCCTGGTTAAGGATGTGGGGGGAGGTGGATGCCCACCTCACTGCCTTTGAGCAGGCTGGCGATTTGAACCAGGGGGACCCTGCGGAAAAGCCCCGGTATCTAGCTCCCTTGCTGGGTCCCAAGGCCATAGACTCCGTCAGCCAGATGGGTGGGGATGTGGACAGGCTCCCACTCCTGACCCCAACCTATATGTCTGTGTGGAGTTTCCTGGGGCCAGGCCCCTCGGACCTCCAGTGGGAGCAGAAGGTGATGGTCAATGGGGAGACATTCTTGGGGTGGCCAAAGGGCATGGGCTGCATAAACCTTCCCACATGCGGCCTGCGAGTGCTATCGACCACCCCTGACCTAAGGGAGGGCGTGAAACTGGAAGGGCCTGGTGTAACTCCTACCAAGGAATGGGAGAGATGCTGGGGCATCCATGGGAACGTTGGTGGCTTCGAACTTCCCCAGGTCACCGGCTAAAGTGACCCCGCTCAGTTCGATCTCGAAGGGGGGAGAGATGTGACGAAGTGGGACTGTTCTTAATGTTTCCTCTGAATAGTGTGGGGGTGCCTCAGTTTCCCCTAGGCAGTTCTTAAGTATCTAGGGGGTGGAGTAAGGGTGTATGATCATTGCAGAGCCCTAGAGGGCAGGTGTGTGCAGGAGTCTGGACACAGAGAATGGCCAACACCCTGTTTCCTGGCAACTGATGGCCTGGGCCCTTCCCCCCCTGCAAGGTGAGAGCTGAAGGGTTGGAGAACAAAGGAATCAGGTGACCACCTGGCCCGGGAAAGGGACAAAGCCCAGAGCAGGGGGGGGCTGGAGGGGGTTTTCAGTTTGGGGCTGGCTGGGACATGGAGTGAAGTGCAGACGTGGTTGTCTGGCTCACTGTCCCCCAAAATGGACCCAGCTGAGGGGTCCTGTTCTCTGCACCTGCAAGCTCTGTTTTAGACCATGTTCCTGTCGTCTAATAAACCTTCTGTTTCCCCGGCTGGCTGAGAGTCCTGTCTGACTGCGAAGTTGGGGTGCAGGACCCTCTGGCTTCCCCAGGAGCGAGCGGACTCGCTGTGGGAAGCGCACGGGGGGGCAGAGGATGCTGAATGCTCCGAGGTCAGACCCAGGAAGGTGGAAGCTGTGTGAGCTGTGTGTCCTGAAGACAGGCTGCTCGCAGAAAGGCGACTGCCCCAGAGTCCTGACTGGCTTCATGGGGAGCAGTTCCAGAGCATCGCCCAGGGACTCCGTGACACCCTCCCCATCAATTATCCCCATAACCCCCCTGCAGGGGCCCTAACCCACTACATCAGGGGGTCCACATTGTGCCGGAGGGTCCGAGGGAGGCCGGCCTACAGGGGTCCCCCACCCTGCTGTCATCTGTCCAGTGGGGAGGGGCCAGCAGTGCTGCATGGGGATTGTGGCCCCCCCTGTTTATGTGTTATCTGCTCCCCTCTCAGGACCCCCACGGCCGCCGACATCTGCTTCACCAGAGAATTACACTCACGCTTCTTCAGCCTGGGCCAGTGCGTCCCCGTGTGCCGAGGTGAGGGGGGCGGGGCTGGGGGGCACATAGGGCTGGGCCAGGGGAGTTGGGAGATACATGTGGGAGACGGGGCTGGGCCAGGTGGGGAGGATGGAGGGAAGGGGGCTAAGGGCAGGGCAGCTGGGCTGAGGGGGACACTGGGGGGACTGAGGTCACATGGGACCCTGAGGCACCTGGGGGCAGGAGTTGGAGGGGAAGAGGCTGGGGGATAAATGTGGGGGGGAGGGGGCTGAGGCAGGGGTCAGCGCAGGGTGCCAGGAGCGCCTGGGAGGGACACAGGTGCCGGCGCAGGGTGGGGGGACTGGCTGAGGGGGAAACGGAGGGAGAAGGGGCAGCTGGGGTGGACCTGTTGGCCGTGGCTAATGGCACTGCCCCTGCAGGGGATGGCGTCTATCAGAAGGGGATGGATTTCATTCTGGAGAAGCTCAACCATGGAGACTGGGTGCACATCTTCCCTGAGGGTAACACCGGGCAGGGGCTGTGGGGGGTGGAGCTGGGCACAGGCCCTTGGGTGCGTGCTCATTTCAGGGGAGAACAGTGTGGGGGGTAGTGGGCCGCACAGGGGGTGGCGACGGGCATGCAGAATACCATGTGTGTGGAGGAGCCCTAATTGGGGCCCAGCCACAGTGGGTGGGGGAGTCGACGGGGGTCTCCTTGTGTCCCCCAACCCACCTCTCTCTTCTCCCTCCCAGGCAAGGTGAACATGAGCCAGGAATTCATGCGCTTCAAGTGGGGTGAGTGCGTGGGAGGGAGTGGGGGGTAAGGGTGGGAGGCTTCCCTTTCTAACTCCTCCTCTCTCTGCCCCCCAGGGATCGGGCGACTCCTGGCCGAGTGCCGGCAGCACCCCGTCATCCTGCCCCTTTGGCACATCGGTGAGGTTGTGCCGGGCCCCCCAAATCTCCTGTCAGCCCAGGGGCATATGTGGGGGGGGCTAGAGAGCATGGTGCAGTGGGCGCAGAGGGGTCATTAGCTGGGGGCAGTGGTTAGATGGGAGCCTGGGACTGGGAGGGTGGTGGCTGGTTGGGGGAAAGGGGTCTTTAACTGTGGGCCTGAAGGGGGGCAGTGATTAGACAGGGCTGGGGGGTAGTTAGCCAGGGCTGGGGAGCATAGGGATGGGGTGGTGGTTAGCTGCGGGAGGGAGGGCCTAGGAGTGTGGGGCCGGGGGGGGCAGGTTAGGTGGCTAACCTGTGGGGGGGCCGGCAGTGGTTAGCTGGGAGAGAGGGGGCAGGAAGTGTGGGATGGGGGGGCAGTGGTTAGCTGGAGGGGGGCCTGGGAGCATGGGGCTGGGGGTGGGCATGGTTAGCTGTGGGGGGACAGGGAACATGGGAATGGGGGCGGTAGTTAGCTGGGGGAGGGGGGATGGGAAGCGTGAGGCTGGGGAGGAATTAGTTGGAGGAGTGGGGCCTGGGAGCATGGGGCTGGGGGGTTGGGTTAGGTGGATAACCTGTGGGGGGGGAATTGGAGTTCCCCCCCATGTCTTTAACATGTTCCACCCACCCAGGTCTGAACGATGTGCTGCCCAATGACCCCCCATATGTGCCCCGTGTCGGCCAGGTGGGTACTGGACAGCCTGCTGGGGTGGGGTGCAGAGTGGAACCCTTCCCCTGCCCGTTGCACGGGGTAGGCCCTACGTAAACACCAGTTGGGGAGGAGGGGGTCAGAGCTTGAGAGCTCCCTGCCCTGGGCCGGGAAATGGGAGGGTGGCCCTTCACATTTAACATAGGTCCTATATAAACAGCAGCTCTGGGGGGTTAACCCCCACACAGACACGCTGCAGGGTGGGTTTGGGGGGGGGCAGCAGGGTCCCTACTCACCCTCGTGTCGTCGCCCCAGCGGATCACCGTTGTCATCGGGAAACCGTTCACCGTCCGGCCGGTGCTGGAGCGTCTCCAGGCCGAGAACAAGTCAGCGGTGAGGCCATGGGTGGGCCCTGTGTTTGTGTGGGGTGCGGGGAGTGACCCATGGGGAGGGGGGCAGTGACCAGTTGGGGGAGAGGGGGAGACCCAGTGAGTCTGGGGGGCAGCGTCTTGGGGGTGGGGGCATGTCTTGAGGCAGGGCAGGATCTGTGGGGGGAGGTGTCTGGGGGGCGGAGCGTGGGTGTGTCTAGGGGGGCGTGGGCACGTCTGGGAGCCCTGACCCCCCCCCCATTTCCCCCCAGGTGGAGATGCGCAAGGCGCTGACGGATTTCATCCAGGGCGAGATCCAGGCACTGAAGGGCCAGGCCGAGCGGCTGCATCAGACATTCCATTGGCAGAGATAGCCCAGGCGGAGGGGCGCGGCTGGCCTCCCTGCCCCATAGCCCGGCCCCATGCGCTGGCCTCCCTGCCTCACAGCTCTATCCCACCTGTGGACCGGCCCCTCCCATCTTCCCCACACGCTGTGGACCGGCCCCTCCCATCCTGACACCTCTGCCCCACATGCCGACTGGCCCCTCCCCTCTGCCCCACATGTCAGCGGGCTGGCCCCCCCGCGCTGCCCCACTGACTGACTGGCCAGCACGTCTGTGCCTGACACCTCTGCTCTACAACTCTGCCCCACATGCTGGCCAGCCAGCCGTCCCATTCCCTGCTCCACATGGTATGGGGCAGCTGCAGCAATGGAGATTGCCCCATTGCTGCAGCTGCCCCTCCGCTGCCATTGGGCAGGGTCTGGCTGAACAGCCCCCTTGTGGGGACCTCCTGGAAGCCACTGAAGCCTGCTGTTCCCCTCAGCCTGCCAGTGGCCCCCCGGGACCCTGCTGGTGAAGGTCTTACAAAGAGTGGGGGCAGCCCCTGCGGGGCTGCTGGCCGTACCCCATCCAAGCTGGGGGGCCCTGCTGGGGCAGGCTGGGTTGGAAGGGGTGTTTCCTCCTGGGGGGATAACCCCCCCCAACATGCATGGGGGTCAAGGTGGGCTGCCAGCTCAACTCCCCTAAATCATACAGAAAGACTGCCTTGCACGAGTCAGGAGGGGGGGCCCCTGGCAACCAGCGCCCTACCTCCCCTTCATTTTTTTTACTGTGGACTTTCTGAATAAAGGATTTTAACCTGGATACAGAGTGGAGACTGTCCCAGGGCTGGGGTAACGGGGGGGCTGGAGGGTGGGGGAATTTGGTGCCCTGTTCAAGGGGGGAGGGATCTGGGCCAGGACAGGGTCTGCCCTCCTGCCCCTTCCCTCCGCCACCCACCAGCGCCCAGGCTGCAGGCGGGACCCGCTCGAGGGAGCGCCGGCTGGGGCAGGCTGCCCCATTGCCCGGTGCTGGGCAGGCTCGCTGCGGGGCCAGGGCCTGGGCACCGGGGGTGGGTGCCGTGGCGGTGGCCGCTGCGCGCCCTGGGAGCAGGGCCTGGAGGCAAAGCCGGCAGCGCTGCTGGGCAGCGGGCTGGCCGGAGCGGGCCTGGGGACCGGGCCTGCGGGGGAGGCTTGTAACCCCCTGGCCGTGACTCGGTTTCCCCGCCTGCCTGCGCAAGGGGCGGGGCTGGGCTGGGCTGGGGTCCAACCCCCAAGGGCCCCTGGGAGCTGGGCCGCTGGGTCCTTCCCCCCCGCCCCCACCGCCCCCGTGTGCGCCCCTGAGGGGGGCTTCCCGCGCTCTGATTGGTCGCCGCTGGGCGCGGCCCGCGCTCTGATTGGCGGAGCGGGGCTCAAGGAAGGTGTGGGGCGATCCGCGCTGTGATTGGCGGAGCGAGGCTCGAGGAAGGGGCGGGCCGGGCCGGGCCGGCCCGCTCTGTGATTGGCGGAGCGAGGCTCGAGGAAGGGGCGGGCCGGGCCGACCCGCTCTGTGATTGGCGGAGCGAGGCTCGGGGGCGGGCCGGGCCGGGCCGGGCCGGCCCGCTCTGTGATTGGCGGAGCGAGGCTCGAGGAAGGGGCGGGGCGGGCCGGCCCGCTCTGTGATTGGCGGAGCGAGGCTCGAGGAAGGGGCGGGGCGGGCCGGCCCGCTCTGTGATTGGCGGAGTGAGGCTCGAGGAAGGGGCGGGGCGGGCCGGCCCGCTCTGTGATTGGCGGAGCGAGGCTCGAGGGCGGGGCGGGAGCGACTCAGGCCTGGCGCCGGACGCGGTTGGGGACAGGGTCGAAGATGGCGGCGGCGCGGCTGGTGCTGGCGGGGCTGGTGCTGGGGGCGGCGCGCGCCGGCCGGGTCCCGCTGCTGGGCTGGTCCGGCCACAGGTGCGGGGGGCCGGGGGGAGGGGCGCGGGGGGCCGGGGACGGGGCGGGACGGGGCGGGGCGGGGGGAAGGAGGAGGAGGAGGGGGGGGGGTGCCGCCGCTGTCCCCCGCTGACCCCCCCCCCGTGCCCTCCCAGCTCCCTCTGGCCCCCCCTGGCTGACAACTACGAGGGACACGTGGTCGGCGCGCCCCAGCTGAGCGCGCTCCTCGCCCCCGCGCTGGATCGGGGCCCCCGCAACGTCCTGCTCTTCCTGCAGGAGAAGGTGAGACCCCGAAACAGCCCCCCCCGTGGGCCCGCCCCCCCCCCGTGGGCCCGGCCCGGCCTCTGCCCCGCCCCCCCCCCCCCGTGGGCCCGGCCCGGCCTCTGCCCCGCCCCCCCCCCCGTGGGCCCGGGGCCCGGCCCCCCCCCGGCCCTCTGCCCCGCCCCCCCCCGTGGGCCCGGCCCGGCCCTGCCCTGCCCCCCCCCCCCGTGGGCCCGGCCCGGCCCGGCCCGGCCCCCCCCCCGTGGGCCCGGCCCGGCCCGGCCCGGCCTCTGCCCCGTGGGCCCGGCCCGGCCCGGCCTCTGCCCCCCCCCCGGGGCCCGCCCGGCCCGCCCCCCCCCCCCCCCCGGCCCCGGCCCTGCCCCCCCCCCCCCCCGTGGGCCCGGCCCGGCCCGCCCTGCCCCCCCCCCGTGGGCCCGGCCCGGCCCGGCCTCTGCCCCCCCCCCCCCCCGTGGGCCCGGCCCGGCCCGGCCTCTGCCCCGCCCCCCCCCCCGGCCCCCGCCTCTGCCCCCCCCCCCCGTGGGCCCGGCCCGGCCCGGCCTCTGCCCCGTGGGCCCGGCCCGGCCTCTGCCCCCCCCCCGGGCCCCCGCCCCCCCCCCCCCCCCCCCCCCCCCGTGGGCCCGGCCCGGCCCGGCCTCTGCCCCGTGGGCCCGGCCCGGCCCGGCCTCTGCCCCGTGGGCCCGGCCCGGCCCGGCCTCTGCCCCGCCCCCCCCCCCCGGCCGGCCTCTGCCCGCCCCCCCCCCCGTGGGCCCGGCCCGGCCTGCCCCGCCCCCCCCCCCCCCCCCGTGGGCCCGCCGGCTGCCCGCCCCCCCGCCCCCCCCCCCCTGCCCGGCCCGGCCCGGCCTCCCCCCCCCCCCCCCCCCCCCCCGTGGGCCCGGCCCGGCCCGGCCTCTGCCCCGTGGGCCCGGCCCGGCCCGGCCCGGCCCGGCCTGCCCCGTGGGCCCGGCCCGGCCCGGCCTCTGCCCCGTGGGCCCGGCCCGGCCCCCCCCCTGACCCGCCCCCCCCCGTGGGCCCTCCCCGCTGTCTGGCCCCGGCCCGGCCCGGCCGCCCTCTGCACCCAGCCCATGTGAAAAGGGGCAATAACCCCGCTCTGCGGCAGGGATCTGGGGGTCACCGTGGATCCAAAGCTACATATGAGTCAACCGTGTAGCGCGGGGGGGGCGTGTTCTGGGCCGCGTTGGCAGGCGGGGGGGCAAGCCCCGAGCAGGAATTGCTCCGCGCTGGCTGCAGGCCTGTGTCCCGTGCTGGGCCCACGTTTCAGGAGAGACGTGGGCAAGCTGGAGACCGTCCAGAGAGCAACGGAGCTGATCCAAGGGCGAGGAAACGCGGCCCGGCGAGGGGAGACTGAAGAAGCCCGGCGCTGGGTTAGCGTGGAGAAGAGAGGACTGGGCGGGGGACCCATGAGGGGAAACTTCCTCTCAGGGTGGCTAAGCACTGGGACAAATGGCCTGGGCGGAGGCTACATGATACTTCGTCCTGCCAGGACTGCAGGGGCCTGGACTAGACGACCCCTCAAGGTCCCTTCCGGTTCTATGTCCCCCCATGGGAGACCCTTACCTCGCCTCTGGGCCCCCTGAAATACAGCCAGCCCCCCATGTCGCTATGCCTAGCCTCTGGCCCCCTGAAATACAGTGAGCCCCACAAGGTCCCAGGGGGTCCCCCTGTGCCTGGCCTCTGGGGGTGTCCCCCTGCCTGGCCCCTGAAATACAGCCAGCCCCCCAAGGTACCCCAGGAGGTCCACGTCTGGACTCTGGGCCCCCAAATACCCTTTGGCCCCTAAAGATTCCCATCTTCCTGCTCCCTCCAGTGAACCCCCACAACACCTCCGCCCCCTGAGTATTTCTGCCTTATACTGCCCCCACCATCCCCTTACCTGTCTTGCTCCTACCCCCGTGCCCACTGTGCTAGTGGGGCTCAGCCTGGGGTTTCAGCAGCTGGGGTACGTGCCCTGTTGCCAGGTGGGGTCTGTGGGGAAGCGCTCCAACTGCTGGGGTGTGTCCGGGTCCCAGCTCCCTGGGGGCTATGGGGCAGGCAATTACCTTAGTGGGGACAGCCACACAGGGCTCCCAGAACCCAGCCTGGGTCCTGTCACTGGGGGGGAGGGGGGTTTGCTCCCCCTCGTCCCCTCCCAGACCCTCTGCAAGGGGAAGTGAGCCCAGCCCCCCAGTCATGTGACCAGTGACTGATCTCTGTATAAGATTCCAGCTTTTGTTCCCCCCCCCAAAAAAAATACATGTATCATGCCCCACGGGGAGGGAGCTCGGCCTGGGGGGGCCTCAAATTGCCCCGCATTAACGTGCTCTCACCCCCCCCACCCAGCTCAGCCTGGAGGATTTCACGGCATACGGGGGTGTCTTCGGCAATAAACCCGACAGCGCCTTCCCCAACCTGGAGGTGAGCAAGGGGGTCCCTGACAGAGCTGGGGGGCTGCGGGTGGGGGGTGGGGGCCCTGGCGTGGCTGGGAGGGGGATAGGTGGCAGAGGCCATGGGTCAGGAGTGAGGGGCTGCTGTGGGTCGGGGGTGAGGGGCTCTTGGGGGGTGGCAGGGGATCCAATGAGGCTGTGGGTTGGGGGTGAGGGGCGTGGGGGGCTGTGCATCAAGTGCCTGTCTCTAACTCCCCCTGACACACACACGCAGAGAGCCCTGGCGGGGGCCCCCTCAACCCTGATGCTCCCAGCTGTGCAGGGGGTGGCAGCCGCCGGCGTCCTGGGGCTGCTGAAGGAGAAGCTGGGGCTGAGCCCCCTGCATGTGGAGCCGGGCACCCTGCGGGAACTGCGACTCAACGCCAGCCTGCCCGCCCTGCTGCTGGTGCGGCTGCCACGCTGGGGTAGCGTGCCCCGATGGCCTGGCTGCCTGCCCCGACAGCCTGCGCCCGCTGCTGGTGGGTGCCCTACGCTGGGGTGTGCCCCGTGCCCCCCGATGCTGCCTGCCCTGCCCCCGACAGCCTGCCCGCCCTGCTGCTGGTGGGTGCCCTACGCTGGGGTAGTGCCCCTGTCCCCCGATGGTGCCTGCCCCGACAGCCTGCCGCCCGCTGCTGGTGCGGCTGCCTACGTGGGGTACGTGCCCGTGTCCCCCGATGGCCTGCCCTGCCCCCGACAGCCTGCCCGCCCCGCTGCTGGTGCGGTGCCCTACGCGCCGGGTACGTGCCCCGTGTCCCCCGATGGCCTGCCCTGCCCTGCCCCGACAGCCTGCCCGCCCTGCTGCTGGTGCGGCTGCCCTACGCTGCGGGTACGTGCCCCATGTCCCCCGATGGCCGCCTGCCCTGCCCCCGACAGGCCTGCCCTGCTGCTGGTGCGGCTGCCCTACGCTGCCGGGTACGTGCCCCACTGCCTCCCACCTCCAGGGCCTACCCTGTCCTGATCTCACCACTGCCTGCCCTGCCCTGCCCTGCCCTGCTACTCCTGACCTGTCCTGACTTCCCCTTCCACAGTCTGGCTGCCCTGCACTGCCCAGGTCTGTGGCCATGGCTCTGGGTTCACCCCCTAGAGAGTGTGACTGGCTGGGCTGGGGGGGACGTGGGCTTGGAGGTCCCAGCAGGGGACACACTTCGGGGGCGGGGGGCTGTGATGTCTCCTCCCCCTGATGTGCTGCTCTTCATCTCCAGCTCCAGCCTCATGGCCCCCAAGGAGGTGCTAACGAGCAATGGTGAGTCTGGTCCCCCACGGCCACTTCCCTCACCAGATCCTGGGTCCTCCGCCTTCCATGGTTGGATCTGTCTCCCTGCCCCCAATGGCTGGGTCTCCCAGCCTCCCTTCATACCCAGCCCCCATTGCTGGATCCTCCCTGTTTCCCCACTGAAGTGCCCCAATTGGTGGGGGGAGCAACCCACCCGGTGGGGTGGGTCAGTGTTTAGGGGCTGGCTGTGGGGTTAGCTGGGGTGGGGAGCCGGGGGACAGGGCTGTTAACCCTGGACATGTCTGCCCCCAGATGAGATCATCGGGCAGGTGCTCAGCGCCCTGGAGGAGGAGGATGTGCCCTACACAGGGCTGCTGACGGCCGGAGCCCCCTCACGGGTATGTCTCCCCCCCCCCCCAACCGCCCCCCTCCAGGTATGTCTCTTCCCCCACCCCCACTGACACCCCCCCTCCCCTGGCAGGGGGCCCCCTCACGGGTATGTCTCCCCCCCCAACCGCCCCCCCTCCAGGTACGTCTCTTCCCCCACCCCCACTGACACCCCCCCTCCCCTGGCAGGGGGCCCCCTCACGGGTATGTCCCCATGTTTAGTGTCCGAGCCCTGGCCATGCACCTCTCCTGGGAATGTCCTGGTCACACTGACCACCCCCTTAGCTGCGTACTCTAGTACCCCCCTTCATCCTCCCTTACCTCAGGAGGCCTGCCGTAACCCTTGAGCTGTGCCCCCCAGGTACTTCCTAACACTGCCCCCCAGCTCTCACCCCACCCTCTCCCCAGGTTCTCCGGGATGTCTCCGGGGTGGCCCCCAGGGGGGTGGGCCGCCAGCTGCTGCAGAAGCCGACCCCAGCACCAGTGCAGCACCCCCCAGTGCGGTACCCCCTGACCGGGGAGCCCCGGATCCTCTTCTGGGCCCAGAACTTCTCCGTGGTCTGGGACAACAAGTGGGTCGACCTGACACCCCAAACATTTGGGGCCGAGGCCTCCGTCAACGTGAGCGGCTCGTCCTGGAGCGCCGGTGACTCCCGGTGAGAGCGGGGCTGTGGGTTGGGAGTGAGGGGGACTGGCAGAGCTGGGAGGAGCCCAGGTCTGGTCTGGCAGGGGGCTGATGGTTGGGAGTGAGGGGCACCACCGGGGTCACTGTCTCTCTTCCCCTATCCAGGCTTGTGCTGAAGTATGCGAATGTTCTGGGGTCCCCTCTGACTGCCACGTGAGTATCTGGGGGGCTGGCTAGGCCTGGGAGAGATGTGGTGTCTGCTGTGGAGTGTCACTACATTGACTGGGGGTGCTGGGATTTGCTGGGGGGTGACATGCGAGGGTTGGTTTGGCTGGGGGTGGCGGGGGGTAATGGGGGGGAGGTTGCTGGTGTCTGCGGGTTCTGGCGGGATCACAGGGGATGGATCACTGGATGATTTCCTGTTCATTCTCTCTGGGCCACCTGGCACCGGCCACTGTCAGACCTTTGGGCTGACCCAATATTGCCCTTCTTATGTTCTTATGCTGACCCTGGGGTGGCTTTGGGGGGGTCTGGCTGGCCCTCTGGGGGTTCTGGACGAGCTGTTCTCCTCCCCCGCCGCCCCTCCAGGTTCCACATGACCAGCCGGTGGTTCCCTGTCTCGGGCCGGGACTGGTTCCAGCTGAGCTATCTGGAGCTGGCAAGGCCCTCGGCCAGGCCCACTGTGTTCAACGCCTCGCAGGTGACGGCTCCTAGCAACTACGCCTGGCGCTGTGCCCACCTCAGCAGCCTGCAGGCCTTCGGCGCTGGCCTTCAGCCGCAAAGCCCCAGCCCTGGCTGGGGGGTGCTGCTCCAGGATGTGCAGGTACCAGCTGGGATGCCTGGGTCCCCTCCTGGCTCTAGTGGGGGGAGGAGGGGGGCTGGGAGCCAGGATGCCTGGGATCTCTCCTGGGCCTGGGAGGGGAGTTAGGGTCGGCGGAGGAGGGCAAGTAGCCTGGCTTCATCTAACCCCCTCTCATCCCCCCCCCAGCTGCAGGGGTTCAACGTGACGGGCCTGCGGTTCTCCTACGCCAGCGACTGTGCCGGGTTCTTTGCACCGGGCACCTGGATGGGGCTTCTCACGGCCCTGCTGCTCGGCGCCATCTTCGCCTGCGGCCTGCACATGCTGCTAGGCCTCAAGACCATGGACCGCTTTGACGACCCCAAGGGGGCCACCATCGCTGTGCCCCAGGGCGAGTAGGGAGGGCCTGAGTCCTGCTGCCCCCTGAGCTGGGATCCCCTGGCTCTGTGGGCTCTGTTCCCCCCCCCCCCCCCCCCCCCCAGTTGGGAGATCCTACCAGCTCTGTGCACTGGGGCCTGCCCCCGCTGGGGCCTGCTCTGTCCCCCCCCCCTGCTCTGTGCGCTCTCCCCCCCCCCCCCCAAGCTCCACCCACAGCAGCTTGGGGGGGGGGGGAGTCCAGCATCTCCCCTAACCCTGCCCTGCCCCTGGCCAGGGGCCTCCCCAGTGCTCGAGGCTGGGGGGGTGTAGACGGCTGTGGCTGCTGTCACCTGGGGGCTACCCCCTACCCCCCCTGCTGTGCGTTAACCCCCCCCAGTGGCTGGGCTGGGGACTTATCCCGTATTTATTGGGGGGGCTATTAGGCCCCCCCTCCTCTCCCCCCAGCCCCTTAATAAAGAGTGTCTGGGCCCTGCCTCTGTGTCCGTCTGTCTGTTTGGGGGGCGTAGGGAGCCGGGGGGGGGGACTACTTTGTCTGGCGGAGGGAGCTGGGAGTGGTGGGTAGACCGAACTCGTTTGTGGCGGAGGGATCGCGTGGAGAGACATAAACTTGGGCCTTATTTCTGGCGGATGGAGACAGACTCGGGGGGCGGTGTAGCGAGCGCACTTATTTATCCGGCGGAAGGATGTGGGCGGACTTTTTACGCTGGGGCGAAGGCTACGCTTCAGAGTGGGGTTAGTTTTTGTTCGGCGGAGGGATACCGTGGTTATCTATGCACATCGGTTCTCTCTGTCTTGGCGGAAGGTGCCCACCTGTGGCGGTGAAGAGGCCCTGCCCCGGCGCTTGACTGCAGGCGGAGGGGGCGGTGCAGGGGAGATCGGGTGAAGCACCTTCGCCGGGACTTGTTACCAGGCGGAGGGATCCGGGGTGTGGTACACAGAGACCGGAACTCATTTCCAGGCGGAGGGATCTGGGGCGGTCGGAGCTGCGGCCCAGGCTGGCTCCGCTAGGGCGGGGGAGGCGGGTCAGGAGCTGCCGCCATGGACGAGGCCTACGACGTGATTGTGCTGGGCACCGGGCTGACCGTGAGTCTGGGGGCGGCTCCCCATTGCACCCCGGGGCGTGGGACCCCCTGCGGACCTCCACTGCACACCCCAATGTATCCCCTCATTGCACCGCCTGCAACCTCCCTTTGCACCCCAGGTGTGGGATCCCCTGCAGACCCCCTGTTGCAACTCCCCCAAGGCAACCCCTGCACCCCCTCATTGCACCCCCTGCAACCTCCCTTTGCACCCCAGGTGTGGACCCCCACTGCACACCCCAGTGCACCCTCTCATTGCACTCCCTGCAACTTCCCTTTGCACCCTCTCATTGCATCCCCTACAACCTTCCTTTGCACCCCAGGTGTGGGACCCCCTGCGGACCCCCTATTGCAACTCCTCCAAGGCAACCCCTGCACCTCCTCATTGCACCCCCTGCAACCTCCCTTTGCACCCCAGGTGTGGGACCCCCTGCGAACCCCCACTGCACACCCCAATGCACCCCCTCATTGCACCGCCTGCAACCTTCCTTTGCACCCCAGATGTGGGATCCCCTGCAGACCCCCTGTTGCAACTCCCCCAAGGCAACCCCTGCACCCCCTCATTGCACCCCCTGCAACTTCCCTTTGCACCCCAGGTGTGGGACCCCCACTGCACACCCCAATGCACCCCCTCATTGCATCCCCTGCAACTTCCCTTTGCACCCCCTCATTGCATCCCCTGCAACTTCCCTTTGCACCCCAGGTGTGGGACCCCCTGCGGACCCCCTATTGCAACTCCTCCAAGGCAACCCCTGCACCCCCTGCAACCTCCCTTTGCACCCCAGGTGTGGGACCCCCTGCGAACCCCCTTATTGCAACTCCCCCAAGGCAACCCCTGCACCCCCTCATTGCACCCCCTGCAACCTCCCTGTGCACTCCAGATGTAGGACCCCCTGCGGACCCCCTGTTGGAACCCCCCCCCCCAAGGCAACCCCTGCACATCCCTCTGGCATGGCAACCCCCATTGCAGCCCCTAATGTACCCCATGGTGACCCATGCACCCTTCCCACTGCAGCTCCCCCATTGCACCCACCTCTGGGGACCCTGCTGGACACTCCCATCATTGCAACCTCTGCTTTTCCTCCCTCTGTCTCTCTCTTCTACTTGTGTCCCTCAGCCCCCCACGGTAATATTTCCACCCCTGTGTCTCCTCCACGTGCACCCCTCTACTGCACCCACTTCTGGGCACCCCACTAGACTCTTATTGGAACCACCCCCTCCCTGGGGCACCCACCCTAACCCATCACCCGTCATTCAGACCCCTCGTGCACCCTGCTCCCCCAGCACCCTGCAAATGGGGTATCCCCCATTAATACCCCCCTGCATCTCTGCCAACGGAGGGGTGGGAAGTGACCCCCCCCCCCAGTTCAGCCCCTCCAGGATCGCAGAGCCTGGCCTCCCCCCATGTCTTCCCTGTAGCTCACAGCAGGCTGCACCCAGCCAATGGCGCCATGCAGTGCCCCCTTACCACCCCCACCCAGCTCTTGGCAGCTGGAGGCGTCTTCCCTGTGCACCCCAAAGCTGGCTGTGCAAAAAGTGCCCCTCCGATTAACCTCCTCGAGAGTCTCTAACCCCCCCCAGCACACCAGGTACAACTGGGCTGACCCATGCCTGCCACTCCCCACTGCACCCTAACTATAACCCTGCCCCCTTCCACACCCCAGCTCCTGACCCTGCGTGAGCTCCCCGCAGCCTCCTGCCCCATCCCGGATTGGGGCTGGCGCCCCCTAGAGGAAACACCCTGGGCCCCGTTCCCTGCCCTGCCCTGCCCCCCGCGGCCGGATGGGAGCCCGGGCTCTGAGGTGGAGGGTCCCCGACGGCTCTGGCAATGACCCTTCCCCTGCCCCCCAGGAGTGCATCCTGTCAGGGATCATGTCGGTGAACGGGAAGAAGGTTCTGCACATGGACCGGAATCCCCACTACGGGGGAGAGAGCTCCTCCATCACCCCCCTGGAGGAGGTATGGGGCTGGGCCTTGGGGTGCGGGGGCACAGGGGAGTGTGTTTCAGGGGGGCAGTTTTGGGGTTGTGGGCCCCAGAGGAAACGGGTTTGATGGGGCAGGAGCTGGTTCAAGATGGGGTCTGTTTGCAGGGGCATGGGGATCCTCTGAAGGAGCGGGTTTGAGGTGGAGGGCAGATTTGGGGATGCAGAGGTTCCCCAGCAGGAGGACATGGGGGGCTGGTGCGGGGGTGCCGCAGGGACTGGGACAGGTGGCTCTAACTCTCTTTCCCCCCCCCCCCCAGCTGTATAAACGCTTTGGGCTTCCCGAGGGGCCCCCCGAGTCCATGGGGCGTGGCCGGGACTGGAACGTTGACCTGATCCCCAAATTCCTCATGGCCAATGGTAAGGGGGGGCCCGGGGGAGTGGGAGCCTCAGAAATGGCGGGGTTTGGTGGAGGGGGTGGGGTGTCGCTCCAGTGCCCCCCCTCACCTTCGTGCTTCCCCCCCCCAGGCCAGCTGGTGAAGATGCTGCTGTACACGGAGGTGACCCGGTACCTGGACTTCAAGGTGGTGGAGGGGAGCTTCGTCTACAGGGGGGGTCAGGTACACAAGGTGCCCTCCACCGAGACCGAGGCGCTGGCGTCCAGTGAGTGACACCCCCCCCACTCCCCCCTTCCTGGCACCACTGCCCCCCCTGCCTCCCCAATGGGACCCTCCCCACGAAGGAAGCCCCCCATTGCTCTGGGGACCCCCTGCTGTCCATCCGCCCTAGACTGCGGTGAGTTAGTGCCTCCCTGCAAGGGGATCATGCCCCCTGGCCCCCCCCATGGCCCCATCCCCTGAGGTGATGAGTGAGCCCCCCAGCCTGGTTTTTTCCCCCCACATGGCACCCCGCCCCGCCCCCAGTGCCCTCTGGCCACCACCACTCCATGCTAGTCCCTTCCCCCCCCCACTAACAGCCCCCCCCCCCCCATCTCCCCACAGATCTCATGGGCATGTTCGAGAAGCGCCGGTTCCGGAAGTTCCTTGTCTTTGTGGCCAATTTTGACGAGAACGACCCCCAGACACTGGAGGGAGTCGACCCCCTTGGGACCCCCATGCGAGACGTGTATGAGCGCTTTGACCTGGGGCAGGACGTGATCGACTTCACAGGCCACGCACTGGCCTTGTACCGCACCGACGAGTGAGTCGTGGGGCCCACCCGGCTCCAGAGCTGACCATGGGGGGACCATGCCTGGTTCTGGGGGGGGCATCTGCCCCTCCCCCCCGGCATCATATCCCTGCAGCAAGTCCCCCGGGGGAGGTGGACACCCCCCTCCTTGACCAGCTTCCTGCCCAGGGGTCACTCCAAATGTCCAGGCAAGGGGCGTGGCCATTGTCTCCTGGGGGGCCCAGCCCCTGCCGCCCAGGCACCTCTGGGTCTCTGCAAAGATCACCCCGCCCCCGCCTAGTTAGCTGTGCAGCTCGTGGGGAAACTGAGGCACTCACACTATTCATACAAAATACAAAACCCCTTGCCTTGGACTCCCCCCCAGCTCTGCAGGTGCCCCTCACTCCCAACCCGCAGTCCCAGCCCTGGGCCCCCCTCACCCCGTCTCTCCCCGCAGTTACCTGGACCAGCCCTGCCTGGAGACCATTAACCGGATCAAGCTGTACAGCGAGTCGCTGGCCCGTTACGGGAAGAGCCCGTACCTCTATCCACTCTACGGGCTGGGGGAATTGCCCCAAGGTTTCGCCAGGTGCGTTGTGGGGGGCAGGGCTTGTGCAACGCAACAGGTGGGCTCCATCGTGGGGGAGGTTGTAGGGGGGATGGCAGAGAGCTCAGGGGGTGCATGTCAGATGGGGCGGTGTCTGGTCTCCATGGTCTCTGTCCCACCCCAGGCTCAGCGCGATCTACGGGGGCACCTACATGCTGAACAAGCCTGTGGACGAGATCGTCATGGAGAATGGCCGGGTCGTGGGGGTCAGGTCGGAGGGGGAGGTGAGCGGGGGGAGCAGGGGGGAGGCACCAGCCTCGGCGGGCTGGATACATCCTAGCAACCCCCAGCCCAACACACACAGTGATTTTGCGGGGTCCCCACTAGGCCCCCCGTTAAATCTGAAGGGGAGTTCTCTGGTCTCCGTCAGTGACCCCTGCCCAGGGTATTGGGGGGCTGGCTTGTCCATCAGGGGCTGGGTTTGGGGTGCCTCTTCCCTGGGGAGGGGGGCTCAGGCCCAACCCCCAGTGGCTGCCCCCATTTCTCCTTCTCCTGGGGAAGGGGTTGCCTGTCGCTCCCCCCCCCCGGCCCGGTTCCTGGCTCTGCTTTGGGGTACCCCTTGAGGGGGCCGCTTTACCCAGCAAGGAATTGTGGGGGAGCTGGGCTGGGGGTTTCCCACCTCTCTCTGGGCTCAGGCCTGGAGGCGGGGGCGCTGAATTCCTGTCCCTGCCAGGTGGCACGGTGCAAGCAGTTGATCTGCGACCCCAGCTATGTGCCAGAGCGAGTTCGTCGGGCCGGCCGGGTCGTCCGTGTCATCTGCATCCTGAGCCACCCCATCCGTGGCACCAGCGAGGCCGGCTCCTGCCAGATCATCCTGCCCCAGAACCAGCTGGGCCGCAAGTCGGGTCAGCGCCGGGAGGGGACCGGGGCTGGGCCCATCCCTGGGAGCCTCCAACCCCCCTGTGGCATCACGCAGGGGACAGACGGGGGGGGGGCTGCGCCACGGGGGAGGGACGTACCGTGGGGGAGGATGGGCCCGGCCAGCACACTGAGTGCCCTGCGGGCCTCTACAGGCGAGTGGGTCACTGCAGGGGCATCGCCAGCTGCATTTCCTTGTCTCCCTGGCCCCTCATTAACTGGGCAGACTCTGGGGGAAACTGAGGCATGCCCGCTGTTCTTACGAAGCCTCACGACCCATCCCCCAGATATCTACGTCTGTCTGGTTTCCTGGGCCCACAATGTGGCTGCACCTGGGAAGTTCATCGCCATTGTCAGCACCACGGTGGAGACGCCGGAGCCGGAGCGGGAGGTGGAGCCGGCCCTGGAGCTGCTGCAGCCCATCGACCAGCAGTGAGGCGGGGGGATAGGGAGCCGGGTGAAGGGCTGGGACTTAGGGGCGGGAGCCTGGAACCCAGTGGGGAGGGGCATGGGGGGGTCTCTGGAGCCCCCCAAACCCACTAGCCTGTGGTGTCCCTCACCCTGGGCTGCCCAGGAGAGGTGTCTCCCAGCCCCCGTCACGGCCCTGTGCAGGCCCATGGGACGATGACGCCCAGCAGACCCGGACTCGCCACACACCCTGCCCTCTGGCTTTGTACCAAACGCACGATCGGTGAATGAGGGGTCCCCAGGGTGCTGTCTGAGGAGCAGAGCCCCCGGGGGGAGATGCTGCTTGGCCAGGTGAGCTGGAAAGCTGGGGAGGGAGGAGCTCTGCGGGGTAAAGGCCTCTGGTGGGGGCTGTGAGAGCTGTGACTCACCCCCTCTCCCCCTTCCTTGGCAGGTTTGTGGCCATCAGTGACTTGTACGATCCCATGGATGATGGCACAGAGAGCCAGGTGAGCGCCCCCCACAGGGAATTCCCACCCCCTCCCCCTCCCTCATGGGACGTCCCATCTCCCCACCCCTGGCAAAATCTGCAGATGATACAAAACTACTCAAGATAGTTAAGTCCCAGGCAGACTGCGAAGAGCTACGAAGGGATCTCCCAAAACTGGGTGACTGGGCAACAAAATGGCAGGTGAAATTCAGTGCTGATAAATGCAAAGTGTTGCACGTGGGGAGATATAATCCCAGCTAGACATATACAATGATGGGGGCTAAATTAGCTGTTACCTGAGAGGGGGATTTTGGAGTCACTCTGGCTAGTTCTCTGAACACATCCGCTCAATGGGCAGTAGCTGTCAAAAAAGCGACCAGAATGTTGGGAATCGTTCGGAAAGGGAGAGAGAGTAAGACTCAAAATATCATGTTGCCTCTGTATTAAACCCATGGGATGCCCACACCTTGAATCCTGTGCGCAGATCTGGTCGCCCCATCTCAAAATGATATATTGCAACTGGAAAAGATACAGCAAAGGGCAACAAAAATGAATAGGGGTCTGGAACAGCTGCCATACGAGGAGAGATTCATAAAACTGGGATTTTTCAGTTTGGAAAAGAGACGACTAAGGGGGGATCTGATAGAGGTCTATAAAATCATGACCAGTGTGGAGAAAGTGAATGAGGAAGCGTTATTTACCCCTTCTTATAACACACGAACTAGGGGTCACCATATGAAGTGAATAGGCAGCAGGTTTAACACAAACAGGGGGAAGTGTTTCTTCACACAAGGCACCGTCAGCCTCTGGAACTCCTTGTCCGAGGAGGTTGTGAAGGCCAAGACTATAACAGGGTTCAGACAAGAGCTAGATAAGTTCATGGAGGTTTGGTCCCTCAATGGCTATTAGCCAGGCTGGGCAGGGAGGGTGTCCCTGGCTCTGTTTGCCAGTAGCCGGGCCTGGACGACGGGGGATGGATCACTGGATAATTGCCCTGCTCTGTTCATTCCCCCTGGGGCACCTGGGACTGGCCATGCTCGAAAGACGGGATACTGGGCTAGGTGGACCTTTGGACTGAGCCAGCCTGGCCCTTCTGATGCTGCATCGGGGTGTCCCATGGGCTGGGGTGTCAGGGTGCTCATGGGGGATGGATGCATGGTAGGTAGGGGGTGTGCTGGGGGCGGAGCACGGAAGGGAGCAAGTGCAAACTCCCCCCCCCCAGGTAACACTGTGTTAATCTCCACCCCCTCACCCCCAGATTTTCTGCTCCCGGTCGTACGATGCCACCACCCACTTCGAGACGACCTGTGACAACATCAAGGACATTTACCGGCGCATGGTCGGCGCCGCCTTTGACTTCGAGAGCATGAAACGGCGCCAGAGCCATGTCTGTGGGGAAGATGAGCCGTGACCCCTGCTGGGGCCAGCTGGAACCCCCCCAAAAACACCCCCCCAGCTGGGGCCAGCTGGGACCCCCCATCTCCACCGGGGCCTGCTCCCCGCAGCACAGGGACCAGCTGTGACTTCTCCCCCATCTGCACCAGGACCAGTCCCCCTCACCAGGGCCAGCTGTGACTTGTGACTCTTCCCCCCCCCCCGAAATCCAATACTGCTCCCCCCCCCCAATTCAGTACCTCCCTAAGTACCAGGAACAGTTGCAGCCCATCACCCCCAGATCACCCCACCCCACAGCTGCTGCCCCAAGCAGGGACCAAGCCTGGCACTACCCTGACCCTCATCACCTCCCTGGGGGAATCTTGCTCCGCCCCCTCCTCTCCTAGGGGCAGCTCTGTAGGGCACCATTAAGGCCCAGGGTACCTTCCCCCCACATCAGGGGGCAGGGGAGATGTCTTGGTGTGTGTGGGGGGTCACCCCGCTGTCCCAAAGCTGGTCCCATTTCCCCTGTGCCCCCCGTCTCGTATCCGCCCCCCGCCGTAGCTGTGTAGGGGGGCAGGTTCCTGTATGCCATGGGGGGGCAGCACTCCCCCCCAGCACCTGCTGCTCGCTGTAATTTATTTTAAGTTATTATTAGTACTGGACCAGGGCCAAGAGAGAGGGAAGAGCTGGGGGGGCAGGGCAGCCCCTGTTCCCGGGGAAGGCTCTGGCTGGGGTGTGCCCCCCAGGTCCCACACTGTCCTTGTTTAACAATGACTGTGAGGGGGGGAAGGCTTGCCCGCCCCCGCCCCGCTGCTCAATTGTCACCAGGCAATAAAGTTACTTTAGTCTAACCCCTGCTCCTGCTTCCTGAGGGTGGGATGGGAGGAGTGGCTGATACCTGGCTGGGGGGGGGGGGGGAGATGGTGACACATGGTGGGCTGGGTACGTGGGACGGATGGTGGGGGGTGGTTACCCGGGTGGGGGGGGAGGATGGCGGCGCATGGGGGGGGTACCCGGCTCGGGGGGAGGGGCGGATGGCTGCACATGGGGGGTGGGTACCCGGGTGTCAGAGATGTAGGGGGGACAGCATGGGGGGCAGGTACCTGGGTTGGGGGAGGGGCGGATGGTGGCACACGGGGGGGCAGGTACCTGGGATGGGGGGTGGGTACCGGGGGGGTGGATGGCGGCACATGGGGGGCAGGTACCCGGGTTCGGGGAGGGGCGGATGGTGGCACACGGGGGGGGGTACCTGGGTAGGGGGAGGGGCGGATGGCAGCACACGGGGGGGGGCAGGTACCTGGGTAGGGGGAGGGGTGGATGGCGGCACACGGGGGGTTGGGTAGCCGGGGGGGCGGATGGCGGCACATGGGGGGGTGGGTACCTGGGTAGGGGGAGGGGCGGATGGCGGCACACGGGGGTTGGATACCCGGGGGGCGGATGGTGGCACACGGGGGAGGCAGGTATCCAGGTAGGGGGAGGGGTGGATGGCGGCACACGGGGGGGCGGGTACCCGGGTAAGGGGGGAACGATGGCGGTACATGGGGGGGGCAGGTACCCGGGTAAGGGGGGAATGATGGCGGCACACGGTGGGGCGGGTACCCGGGTAGGGGGAGGGGCGGATGGCGGTACACGGGGGGGGGCGGGTACCCGGGTAAGGGGGGGAACGATGGCGGTACATGGGGGGCAGGTACCCGGGTAGGGGGGGGGAATGATGGCGGCACACGGTGGGGCGGGTACCCGGGTAGGGGGGAGGGGCGGATGGCGGCACACGGGGGGCGGGTACCCGGGTAGGGGGGAGGGGCGGATGGCGGCACACGGGGGCGGGTACCCGGGTAGGGGGAGGGGCGGATGGTGGCACACAGGGGGGCGGGTACCCGGGTAGGGGGAGGGGCGGATGGCGGTACACGGGGGGCGGGTACCCGGGTAGGGGGAGGGGTGGATGGCGGTACACGGGGGGCGGGTACCGGGGAAGGGGGGAACGATGGCGGCACAGGGGGGGGGTGGGGCACACGGGGGCGGGTACCCGGGTAGGGGGAGGGGCGGATGGCGGCACACGGGGGGGCGGGTACCCGGGTAAGGGGAGGGGCGGATGGCGGCACACGGGGGGGCGGGTACCCAGGTTGGGGGGAGGGGCGGATGGCGGTACACGGGGGGGCGGGTACCCGGGTAAGGGGGGAACGATGGCGGTACATGGGGGGCGGGTACCCGGGTAGGGGGAGGGGCGGATGGCGGCACACGGGGGGGGGCGGGTACCCGGGTAGGGGGAGGGGCGGATGGCGGCACACGGGGGGCGGGTACCCGGGTAGGGGGAGGGGCGGATGGTGGACACAGGGGGGGGGTCCGGGTAGGGGGAGGGGCGGATGGGGCACACGGGGGGCGGGTACCCGGGTAGGGGGAGGGGCGGATGGTGGACACAGGGAGGGCGGGTACCCGGGTAGGGGGAGGGGGCGGATGGCGGTACACGGGGGGGGGTACCCGGGTAGGGGGAGGGGGTGGATGGCGTACACGGGGGGCGGGTACCCGGGGAAGGGGGGAACGATGGCGGCACACGGGGGGCGGGTACCCGGGTAGGGGGAGGGGCGGATGGCGGCACATGGGGGGGGCGGGTACCCGGGTAGGGGGGGGACCGATGGCGGCACACGGGGGGGCGGGTACCCGGGTAGGGGGAGGGGCGGATGGCGGCACACGGGGGGCGGGTACCCGGGTTGGGGGAGGGGCGGATGGCGGCACAGGGGGGCGGGTACCCGGGTAGAGGGGGGAACGATGGCGGTACATGGGGGGCGGGTACCCGGGTAGGGGGAGGGGCGGATGGCGGCACACGGGGGGGGGGGTACCCGGGTAGGGGGAGGGGCGGATGGCGGCACAGGGGGGGCGGGTACCCGGGTAGGGGGGGGAACGATGGCGGTACATGGGGCGGGTACCCCGGGCGGGGTAGGGGTCCCCCAGCCGCCGCACAACCCCGCTCCCACCGCCCTTCCCCTTGCGGTGACCGCCCACTCCCGACAGCCTCTGCGGCTCCCTCCGGGCACCGCACACCCTCATTTGCATAATGGGGGCGGGGCAGCGGCTGCCCTGCGTCACTCGGCGGACGGCGCGTGCGGGTGACGTCGCGTCAGCTGGGTGCCGCGGAGCTGCCCCGGGGTCCTGCGGGCCCGACCGGAAACGCCGCCGGGATCCCCCCACGTGATCCGCCGGGAAACCCCCCTCGAGACCCCCCCGCGTCACCCGCTAGGGCTTCCCCGGCCCCCCCGGCTCCAGAGACCCCCCCCCAGCCTCTGCCCCGCCCCCCCCGCTCCAGAGACCCCCCAACTTCTGCCCCGGCCCCCCCCCCCCCCCGGCTGCAGCCCCCTCCCAACTCCCCAGCCTCTGCCCCGGCCCCCCCCCCGACTCCGCCCCCCCAACTCCCCAGCCTCTGCCCCGGCCCCCCCCCGACTCCGCCCCCCCCAACTCCCCAGCCTCTGCCCCGCCCCCCCCCCGCTCCAGAGACCCCCCCACCTTCTGCCCCGGCCCCCCCCCGGCTGCAGCCCCCCCCAACTCCCCAGCCTCTGCCCCGCCCCCCCCCGCTCCAGAGACCCCCCCAACTTCTGCCCCGGCCCCCCCCCCGGCTGCAGCCCCCTCCCAACTCCCCAGCCTCTGCCCCGGCCCCCCCGCTCCAGCACCCCCCCGCTCCAGCACCCCCCCCAGCCTCTGCCCCGGCTCCAGAGAACCCCCAACACCCCAGCCTCTGTCCTGGCCCCCCCACCCCGGCTCCAAAGACCACCCCCCCCAGCCTCTGCCCCAGACCCCTGCCAGCCCCAGACCCCTGCCAGCTCCAGTCCCCGCCAATCCCGCCGTGGGACCCCCCCAGCCCGATTCTCGGGTCCGCAACAACCCTCTGGGATTCCCCGTTTTCAGGGACCTCCCCAGCCTCTGCCACCTGCCTAGGGGCTGCCCCCCAGCCTCTGCCCCCCCAGTGACCCCTCTACCTTTTCCCCCATATCCAGGACCACCAGGCCGCAGCTGGCCACAGGGCTCCTGACCTCCCCCCATTACATCCCCTCCACCGACCCTTCCTAGGGTCCCTCCTCAGCCCCCCCGGGCACCTCGTGGGTTGTGGTCCCCCCGCCCCCACCATGGCGCAGTACAAGGGGGCGGCCAGCGAGGCCGGCCGGGCCCTGCAGCTGATGAAGAAGCGGGAACGGCAGCGGGAGCACATGGAGCAGATGAGGCAGCGCATCGCGGAGGTGGGGGGCTGGGGGGGCAGAGGGATCAGGGATACAGAGCTCCTGGGGCAGTGTTGAGATGGGGGGGGCAGATCCTCTGGGGGCGGGGACAATATCTGGGGGCAGAACCGGGGAAAGTGCGGAGACCGGGGGGAGGAGGTAGGGCATATTGGGCAGAATGGCCCCCCCAGTTCCTCATGCCCCACCCGCCACCCCCACAGGAGAACATCATGAAGTCGAACATCGATAAGAAGTTCTCCGCTCATTACGACGCAGTGGAAGCAGAACTAAAATCCAGCACTGTGGGTGAGTGTGGTCAGGGGACCCAGAAGTCTGCCCCCCAAAAACCAAAAAACTAGACCCCACTCCCCTCCCAGAGCTGGGGAAAGAACCCAGGAGTCCTGGCTCCCAGCCTCCCTTGCTCCAGTGCTGGGAGAGAACCCAGGCGTCCTGACACCCCCCCACCCCTCCAGGCCTGGTGACCCTGAACGACATGAAGGCCAAGCAGGAGGCCCTGGTGAAGGAGCGGGAGAAGCAGCTGGCCAAGAAGGAGCAGTCCAAGGAGCTGCAGCTGTGAGTGGGGCGCCGGGGGGTGGTGTCTGACTGCTGGGCTCCCCTGCCAACCTGCGGGGGGGGGGTCATTGTGTGTCCTCTCTGATGGAGGGGGCCCTTTTGAGGGGGTATTTCCTGTCAGGGGACCCCAGCTCCTCCGGCTTCCACTCTTCTCTCCAAGGTGGGGACCCATGTCTGGGGGCCCTGTTGGGGGACTGATCCCCCTGTGCTGTGGGGCACCAACCACCAGGTTTGATATTCCCGTGGGGCACTGACCCCTGTCATTGGATGCTGGACCCTCCCCCCCTGGGGTATTAACCACACACACACACACACCCCCAGGAAGCTGGAGCGGCTGCGGGAGCGGGAGCGGAAGCAGGAGCAGAAACGGAAGATCTCCAGTCTGTCCTTTACCCTGGACGACGACGAGGAGGAGGAGGAGGAGGAGGAAGAGCAGCTGGAGGAGGAAGAGCCAGAGCTGGAGAAAGAGGGTGGGTGGGGTGGGAGGGCTGGGCTGGGCTGGAAGGGGCACTGTGGGGCCAGGCTGGTGGTGGGGTGTGTAAGGGAGCTGGGGGGCTGTAGGGGGCGCTGTCGGGCAGGGGGCAGTCAATAGGAGGTGCAGTGGGGGGCTGGGGAAGCAGGGCAGTCTGGGAGTGGGGTCTCAGGGGGGTCTCATTCCCGTTCTCCCCACAGAGCTGCCCCCCAAGAAGCGCAAACTGGGAAAGAATCCAGACGTGGACACCAGCTTCCTGCCGGATCGGGACCGCGAGGTACGTGCCCCCCGCAGCCAGGACCGCAAGGTACTGCCCGTCCCCCTCCCTGCCCCCCAGCTGGGACTGTGAGGTGAACATCCTAGATCGACATCACACACCCCTGGGAGTCAGGCCCTCCCCGACTGAGCTGTATCTCCCCCCCACACCCCTAGGAGGAGGAGAACCGCCTGCGCGAGGAGCTGCGCCAGGAGTGGGAGGCCAAGCAGGAGAAGATCAAGAGTACGTGGCCAGGGGAACTGCGCGCCACTGGGTCTTGGGGGGATGCTGGCAGCTGGGCCTGGTGGGGAGATGGGATGGAAGGGGAGTTGGAGCCATTACTGGGTT